TTCTTCGTCTCTAGTTATGGTCTTCATTTTGAAATCTTTATCATATATGAGTATTACTACCCCAGCTTTTTTTTTTTTTTTGCTTTCCATTTCCTTGAAAGATTTTTTTCAATCCCTTCACCTTCAACCTATGTGAGTCTATTGTTGTGAGGTGGGTCTCTTGTAAACAACATATATGTAGTCATGTTTTCTTATCAAGTCAGCTACTCTCTGTCTTTTTATCGGAGCATTCAAACCATTCACATTTAAGGTGATAATTGATATGTACTTATTTATTGCCATTTTTGTTTTGTGTGGTTCTATTTTTCTTGCTATTTCTTCTAATTACAGCAGTCCTTTTAGTATATCTTGTAGTGCTGGTTTGGTGTTAATATATTCCCTTAGCCTTTTTTTTTTTTGTCTGGGAAGGTCTTTATTTGACCTTCTATTTTGAATGATAGCCTTGCTGGGTAGAGTAGTCTTGGATTCAGATCCTTGTTTTTCATGATCTTGATTACTTCATGCCACTCCCTTCTGGCCTGTAGTGTTTCTGTTGAGAAGTCAGCTGAGAGCCTTGTTGGGTTTCCTTTGTAGGTAACCTGTTGCTTATCTCTTGCTGCCTTTAGGATTCTCTGTTTGTCTTTAATTTATTTGGCATTTTAATTACTATGTGTCTTGGTGTGGGCCTGTTTGGGTTTTTCTTACTTGGGGCTCTCTGTGCTTGAACTTGAATGCCTCTTCCTTCACCTAGTTGGGCAAGTTTTCTGTCATTATTTCTTCAAATACATTCTCTAACCCTTGCCCATTTTCTTCTTCTTCGGAAACTCCTATGATGCGAATGTTATTACATTTTCAGTTGTCCCACAGTTTTCTTAAGCTATCTTCCTGTTTTTTAATTATTTTTTCCTTTTGGTTTTCTGATTCGTTGATTTTTTTCTGCCCTGTCTTCTAATTCACTGATCCAGTCCTCAGCTTCCTCTACTCTGCTGGTTAGTCCTTCCAATGTGTTCTTAATTTCTGCTATATCATTCTGTATTTCCACTTGGTTGGTTTTCAATGTTTCTGTATCTTTACTCATGATGCTGATGTCCTTATTCATGCTGTTGAGCTTCCTAAAGATCATGGCTCTGAACTCTACCTCTGATAATTTGCGTAGCTGCATCACATTGATCTCATCTTCGATAGAGTTCTCTTGTTCTTTCATTTGGGATTTGTTTCTTTGTTTCACCATTTTGGCTTTCTCAGTGTGTTTTGGAGCTTGCCAAATTTTTCCTGTGGGTGTTGGTGTTCTGTTGTTTGTGGCTCCCTGTACTGGGTTTAGGTGGGCCTGGGTGGACTCACGTTAAACACCTCTGTCAAGTCTTACTTTCCTGGGTAGATTTGCAAGCCCAGGAAAGGTTCAGTTATCCTCTAGCTTTTTCCTGGTGGGTAATAGTCTCAGTTACTCAGTGCCTTGGAATGTAGCCCTGGTGTCCTGAGTAAGAGAATTTCCGGTGGGTGGGATAGATGCTGGTTGTTAATGAGCCTCAATTTTTATTTCTTTGCCTCACCTGGGAAAGCCTGAATCTCCGCGGGGCGGCTGCTGCTTTTCCCCACAGCTAGGGTAAAGAGCATACTGGCCACCGCCCTTTGTGGCCGCAACTCAGGAAAAACTCTGAGTGCTCTCCACATCCCTGGTGTCCCCGCAGAGTTCCAGCCCTGTCTACCCTCCTTCTGCCGTAGGCCCCAGGTGAGTGGCTGTGGCTATTTTAGTGCTCAGTCCTGGCTCCCTGGGCTGTGGAGCGGGTTTTGTCTTTATTCCCCAAGGGCGCTGCTCACATCTAAGACTGCTGCTGTTCGTGGGCTCCCAGCCGGCTACCCTCTTGCGCCTCCACAGATCCTACCGGTGTCCCTGGTTATATGGTCTTGTCCTGCTGCTTTTCTGAGGATTTGTCTTTATTTTAGTTGTAATTCCCGTTGGTCCTGGGAGATCATCTGTGTGGCTTCTATTTACTCTGCCTCCTTTTTCACATCCTCTAAGCTTATCTTGTGCGCAGCTGGGTCGCACAGGCCTTTCTGGTGCCCCTGCATCCTGCAGATCCCGCGGGTAACTGGATCTCCCAGTCCCTCTGGGGACCCGGCTCTATGCCTATGTGATGGGCTGCTGGGTGGCACAGGCCTCTCGGGTGCTTCAGCACCCCACAGCTCCTGCAGGAAACTGGATGGCACAGTCCCTGCTGGGTGGCACAGGCCTCTCTGGTGCTTCAGCACCCCGCAGGTCCCATGGATTATTGGATGGCACAGTCTGTGGTGGGTCGCACAGGCCTTTCTGGTGCTTCAGCACTCCCCAGGTCCCACGGGTTATTGGATGGCACAATCTCTGCTGGGTCGCACGTGTAATTGAATGACACAGTCCTTGCTGGGTCACAGGGGCCTCTCTGGTGCTTCAGCACCCCGCAGGACCTGCGGGTAACTGGATCGCACAGTTCCTGCTGGGTTGCACGGGCCTCTCTGGTGCCCCTGCACCCTGCTGTTCCTGTGGGCGGGCAGTTGGATCGCACCGGTCTCTCTCCGGCTCTGGCTTCCCACTGCACTTGTGAGCTACTGGACTGCACAGGCCTCTGTGGAGCCCCAGGTCCCACTGGTGGTGGCTGGGGAGTGCTGCTGCCCCGTGGGGCTCAACTCCTGCTCAGCTTTTGCTGTAGATTTTGGGGATGGGTCTCATCTGCTGGTCTGTGCTTCTGTTGCCTGGGTATGGGTTTCTGCTCCCCAGCCTCTGTTGCTGGGCGTATATCTGGACTCTGATCGGGCTGCTACTATGGGGGATGGTGCTGGGCTCCGGGCTGTCCATCGCTTCCGCGACCAGCACCTTGGGAGCTCCACTACTGTGCACCGGTCTGTGTTGACACAGAGTGTCCACTGCTCAGATGGTGCCAGGTGTGCTGGTGGGCTCAGGTTGCTGGGCACTAGCTGCTTCCACGGCCTCCTCCCAGGGAAGACCCGGATCTTCCAAAATGGTGGGACCTCCCCACAGCGCAGGGAGAAGCACCCTGTAGAGCCGCTTACCGCAGTAGCCGGCTGCTCCGTCCACAGCACAGGAACCTTCTTCTCCGGGGCTCTGCACTGCTGGGGTGTGGTCGTCCACCTTCACGTCCATTCACACTCTCTCACACACTCACTCACTCTCTCACACACTCCCCCTCCCTCCCGTCCTGCCCAAGCCATCTTTCCTAGATTAATCGGAATATATTTTTTGATCATGGAATTTGGCTCATAGTGCGGTTCCTATCTATGAAATCAGTAACTAATATAAAATAATCTTCAAAGGCCTTTTAAATCTGAATTATGTTCCCAATTAGGTAAAATATGATGTAGCAATATTTTAAAATTGAATAATGCTTAAAACCTATTGACATTTCTCTCAAGATATTTAATTTAGTGATTATAGTCTCACTTTTTATGGATCTTACTTTTGAGATGTTTAAAGAATAATATCTTTTAAGGGAGAAAGATAATCATTGAAAACTTTATTCGTAAAAGTTTATGAAGAAAAAGAATGGAAATGAGAGGTAATCTGTAAATTTAAAGATGTTAAAATAATAAGTTGTTTTTTAAAAATGGGCAAGGATAAATTACAGAGTCTAAGGATGTTCTCTTGAATGATACACAGTAAGGAAATGCAAGAAAATAATTGCTTTAAAAGTCAGGTTAGTGGTTAGATTCTTTTGGAGTGAAGAAGGGGGTCATGAAGTAGTTCCTTTGTGTGCTTTTCTCTCTTTTTTTTCCAATACAGTGTTTTATATATGTATATATTTGTTGTTAAAACTCACCCAAAGTTATTTTTTTCATTGATTTTTAGAGAGAGGGGAAGAGCGGGAGGGAGGGGGAGAGAAGCGGGGAGAGAGAGAGAGATTAATGTGAGGGAGATACATTGAGTGGTTGCCTCCTTCCAGCACCTTGACTGGGGTCCAGGATCGAATCTGCAACCCAGGTACGAGCCCTTGACTGGGAATAGAACCTACTACTCTTCGATGTACAGGCCTTTGCTGTAACCATGGAGTCACACTGGCCAGGGCTTTTTTTTTTTATTTTATTTTTATCCTCACCCGAGGATATTTTTCCATTTTTTGTACAGATAGAATGGGAGGGAGAGAGAGGAAGGGAGAGAGAGTGAGAAACATCGACGTGAAGGGACACATCGAGTGGCTGCCACCCGCACGACCAACCAGGGCCGGGGACAAACTGCAACCGAAGTATGTGCCCTTAGCAGGAACCGAACCCGGGTCTCTCTGGACTGCAGGCCGATGCTCTAACCGCTGAGCCAAACTGGCCAGGGCTTATTTTTATATTTTTAATAAAAGCGTTAGACCACTGATCTGTAGAAGGGAGAGATTAACAGATTGTTCCAGCTCCTGGGATGTATACATGCATGAGTAGACATTTTGAGATACAAACATAAGTCCTCAGATATTCTAATGACCTTAGGATTGATTGAGCCTTAATCCTTTCTATCTCCATTGTAATGGAGTTCATCTGGAATGTTACTGAGAATGGAGCATGGGGAAATGTGCCTTAATATAAAGAAGGTTCCAAAGATAAACTTGTCCTGGGTTCAAAATTTTGCTTAGATGTTTCTTTACAATCTCCCCTACTTGCTATAAAAAACATATTAGAATAATAATGTAGTAGGTTTAACTTGATATGAATATATTAGTTTTTAAGAGTTAGTACTGGGTAGCTTAATTGATTGTAGGCTTGATCTGTTTCCATGTTAGTGGACTTTATTTTTTCTATCTGTAAATCCAGCTTTCATTGCTGATTTGTGCTGTTGATCATAGGAGGATCAGGAAGCTCGGTATAAATCTTTCATCCTTATTTTTAAAAAGCTAAAGGTTAACTAACTTGCCAATTGGAAAAGACATTTTTATTTATTTAGGTTCTTTGTTACTGTAAGAGTTTCTTTTCAATGCTTTTTTAAAAAAACATGTCCTCACTTGTTTAGTGGGAGAAAATAGCTATAACATTTTTAATTTTGTTAACAGAATAAATTTAAACGTGAAGAGAAAACAAATGGATGGAGAATAGACAAAGCATTCCGTAAGTATTAAGACCTTTTTAATAATATATCATGTGGAGCCCTGGCTGGTTCGGCTCAGTGGTTAGAGTCTTGGCCTGCGGACCAGAGAGTTCCGGGTTCGGTTCCCACTAAGGCAGTGATTCTCAACCTTCCTAATGCCATGACCCTTTAATATAGTTCCTTATGTTGTGGTGACTCCCAACCATAACATTATTTTTGTTGCTACTTCATAGCTATAATTTTGCTATTGTTATGTCTTAGGCGACCCCTGTGAAAGGGTCGTTCGACCCCCAAAGGGGTCGCCACCCCCAGGTTGAGAACCGCTGTGCTAAGGGCATGTACCTCAGTTGCAGTTTGTCCCCAGCCCTGATTGGGGTTGTGTGCGTGGCAGTCACTCAGTGTGTCTCTCTCACATCGATGTTTCTCTCTCTTCCTCCCTCTCTTCTTCCTGCTCTATCCGAAGATGAATGCAAAAATGTCCTCAGGTGAGGATAAAAAAAAAAAATAATAATAATAATGTATCATTTGGAGATTCTAAAAATGTGACCAATCTTTTGTTTTTGGTTCCAGTGTGATTTAGATTTGTTTTGTCCTTTTGTTGTCAAATGAAGAGTAAGACTGGAAATTTTTCTCTTTAGCAGTGCAGGTCTGGCTGCTGATACAGAGCTATAGGTAAAGGGATTATCTAAAACATCAAGAAGGAAGTAGAGTTCTGAGTCCAAGAGGTCACAGGTGTACTGAAGATACCATTTCTAAGTCCTCTTTATTCTGAAAGAACTGTATTCTGGAAGGAGTCAATTGTTTCTGGAAGATATTATACCATAGGTAATTTCTTCCAGTGGTCAGTCAGTCATTCAGTCAACAGTATTGACCACCTTCTGTGTGCTAGTCACTGTTTAGGCTTTGAGTACATAATGGTGACAGGACAAATGAGAATCCTGCTTTTACAACCTTCTGTGTAATGGGGTGGGAAAAGGCATATAGTCTATAGGCATGATAATTACAGGTAGTGATTAATTTCTAAGGAAGAAAAAAGAGGGAGTTAGGTGGGTGTATATTTAGATTGGATGGTCAGGTAAGTTCTGTCTAAAGAAATGACGTTTGAATTTACACCTGATTTGAAGGAATGATGTATACCTTTCAGCTTCTAAATAATAGCCTCATTAAAGTTAACATTTTTTCTTTAAAAAAATTTTTGTTTCTTTATTGATTTTAGAGAGGAAGGGAGAGGAGGAGAGAGGGATAGAAACATTAGTGAGAGAGAACAGTGATTGGCCGCCTCCTGCATGCCCCCCACTGGGTATTTGCTCACAACCTAGGCCTGTGCCTTGACTAGGAATTGAAGCGGGGACCTCATGGTGAATGGGTCAGTGCTCAGCCACTGAGCCACACCAGCTAGGCTCTTTTTAAGTCCAGATAAAGACATCAAGGGATCTGTAAAGAAAACAATTAAGTACTGTTATAAAGTAGTTCCTCTGTTCTTTGGAAGATAATTATCAATGTTTCATGATTAATAACTGTATTCATTGTCTATTTATCATAGTGTGTATCTTAGGGAAAAAATCTAAAGAGAGGACCTAGGTTTAGGAACATGTATGTTTATTTAATGAGTTAATACTAAAGTAGGTGAATGGACCCTACACCCCATGTTGTATTTGGTCCTCAGGGAAACCACTTCCAGGAATGGCTTTTGGAAGATCTGGAATACTATGATCCTCAGCCTTCTCCAGTTTAGAGAAGTGGTCCTGAAACTTTTCATCATTTTATTTATTATAATCAGAAAGAAGTGATAAATCTGTAAATAGTCTTTTATGGGTGTGGATCCACTGTTAAAACTACTATAATAGATACCTTTAAAATTCACTGATTCTGGCCTTGGTGGGTTTGGCTCAGTGATTAGAGCATCAGCCTGCAGATCGAAGGATAGAGAGTTTGATTTCTGGTCAAGGGCATGAATGATCCCTGGTCCTGGTAGGGGTCATGTGGGAGGCAACCAATCAGTATTTCTCTCAATCTCCTTCTCTCCCTCTCTTCCTTTCACTCTACCTAAAAATCAACGGAAAAATATCCTTGAGTGAGGATTAACAACAATAACAAAAAATAATAAATTCTGTGATTCTGGTGTTTTGTAATGGAAAATTTAAAAAATTTAAACCTAAATGGGGTTTTCTAGAGCTTATATTTTTAATTCCTTTGAGAACGTTTATGGGTTATTTTAGTGCTGTATTTTTTTATCATCATTGCTGTGGAAGGTCAGAACAGGTAAAGGCTAGGTCTGTAATAAAACAGGGCCTTCAGGCCCTGGCCGGTTTGGCTCAGCGGTTAGAGCATCGACCTGCGGTCCCGAGAGGCCCGGGTTCGGTTCCCGCTAAGGGCGCGTGCCTCGGTTGCAGTTTGTCCCCGGCCCTTGGTTGGTCGTGCGGGTGGCAGCCACTCGATGTGTCCCTTTCACATCGATGTTTCTCTCTCTCTCTCTCTCTCTCTCTCTCTGTTCCTGTCTCTCCCTTCCACTCTACCAGAACAGAAAAGGAAAAATGTCCTCGGGTGAGGATAAAAAAAACAACAACAACAACAACAAAAAAACAGGGCCTTCAGGAATCCTAGGTTTGAGCTTGGTTTCCTGAGGCTAATTTATTTTTGTTTTGGTATATACCTCTTTTTCTGAGATCATATTATAATCATACCAATCTTGGAGCTTATATATAGAGAGCACCCTTTTATCTACATTCACTATGTTTTTAATTAATTAATTATACTCTATTTTTTTCTTTCTTTTCTTTTTTTTAACTGATCTTAGAGGAAGGGAGAGAGAGACAGACACAGAAATACTGATTGGTTACCTCCCGCATGTGCTTCGACCAGGCATTGAATCTACAACCTGGATATGTGCCCTGACTGGGAATTGAACCTTCCACCTTTTGGTGTACAGGATAACGCTCCAACCAACTGAGCCACAGTAGCCAGGGCTTTACTATATTTTTAGAGTAGGGCTTAACTTAGGCAAGGATTTCACTCCTCTAGTGGATTTATTCCTCATTTGTTCACAAATTGCTCTTTCAGGTATAATACTGTGGATAGGTATTTTGTGAGAGTGGTCCTGATCAATATTCATTTTCTTTCCACTTTGCTAATATTTGGAAGAGTAGAGTTAATAATAATAAAGAGAAATCATATGGTGATGTGTAGGCTATTGAGGACTTCTTAGTCCTAGGTTGTTGTTTTTAATCCTCACCTGAGGACATTTTTCCATTTTTTGTTCAGGTAGAGTGGGAGGGAGAGAGAGGAACAGAGAGAGAGAGAGAGAAACATTGACATGAAAGGGACACATCAAGTGCCTGCCACCCACACGACCAACCAGGGCCAGGGACAAACTGCAACTGAGGTATGTGCCCTTAGCGGGAACCGAACCTGGGTCTCTCGGGACCGCAGGCCGTTGCTCTAATCGCTGAGCCAAACCGGCCAGGACAGTCCTAGGTTTTTTTAAAAAGTTGATTTATGATTTACACGTAGTGCAATTTGTAGTTTGAGTTTTGACAAAGATTTGATGGTGTAACCACCACCCAAAACAACATATGGAACATTTTCATCTCTTCAGAAAGACCCCTTATTAATCTTTCTGTCAATCTCCACTGCTATCTTGACCCAGGTAACCACTATTTTCATTTGAAGTATCATAGGTTAGTTTAGCTTGTTCCAGAATGTCTTATACATGGAATCATACAGTTTGTGTCTGGCTTCTTTCATTCATGTTTTTTTTTTTTTTAAATCCTCCCAAGGAAATTTAAAATTTTTAAATTTTAGAGAGAGAGGAAGGGAGAGAAGAAAGATAAACATCAGTTTGAGAGAGAAACATGAATCACTTGCCTCCTGAATATGCCCTGATCAGAATTTGAACCCACAACCTAGGTATGTGCCCTAATGGGGAATCAAACCTGCAACTTTTTGGTGTATGGGATGATGATCCAGCTAACTGAGTCATCTGGCCAGGGCTCACTCATCATGTGTTTGAGAATCACCTGAATTATTGCTTTTATCAGTAGGTCCTTTAAAAAAAAAGGTTTTTTTTGTTGCTCAGTGGTCTATTTTGTGACTGTACTATAGTTACTAGATTTGTTTATCCTGTATCCTGTTGATAAGCCCATTTGCTGTTTTTTAAATTGAGTTTGAGAGGGAGGAGAGGGAGAGAGAAACACTGATTTGTTGTTCTACTTATTTATTCAGTCATTGGTTGATTCATTCATTGTGTTGGCCTGACCCATATTGAACCTGCAACCTTGGTGCATCGGGATGACTCTAACCAACTGAGCTACCTGGCCAGGGCTCCATTTGCTTTTGATGTTATACTTAAATAAAAACTTGAAGGTTTTTTTCTTTCTTTATTTTTGTTTTAAACAGAGGAAAAGCGTCCTTTTGACTTCGATTTTTTTGCTCATTTGCTTCAGAAAGTTCTTGCTGAAGAAGAGAAAAGAAAACAAAAATCCATTAAAAATCAGAGTTTAAAGGAGAAGAAATCCTCTAAACCACGGAAAAATGTAAAAGGTATTTATTTTAAAAGAAAGTTTTATTTTATTTAATAGACTTGCAGTATTGTCCCTCAAGTCTTCAAGTGTTCACATGTAGTTCAGGTAGTTGAGATCATCAGGGCATTCCAGTTACCTGGCCCAAAACAGCAGCTCTCTTTTAAATTTTCTAATTCTCATGGCTGGGCTATTTGACATCATTCTTGCATCTAGAATATAGTCATAGGTAAATAAAGAATATCAGAATTTTGGAGTGTCATGTTTGGTTACTTATGATTTTCCTCTGTAAGACAAATCTGGTACAAAATTCTAACATAAAAAAAAAATCTCGAATACTTTGGACTTGTGACTAAATTATATAGTTTGAGTGTAACTTATTTTTGAGGGTTAATGTTGACTTGTACCAGGCAGAAAATTGTTTATGTGTAGGTTTTTAAAAATTTTAGTCTTATATTTTCTTAACTATTTAAATTCTGATCTATGAGGATAATGGTTAGCTATAATCACATAATATAAAGAGTGTTGGAGTTACAGGGAACTTTATGTTAGCTAGTCTACATCCCAGCCCCTTTCTCTTTGTCTTTTTTTTCTTAATTTTTTTTTATCCTCACCCGAGGACATTTTTCCATTTTTTGTTCAGATAGAGTGGGAAGGAGAGAGAGAGAGAGAGAGAGAAACATCGATGTGAAAGGGACACATCGAGTGGTTGCCACCCACACGATCCAACCAGGGCCAGGGACAAACTGCAACTGAGGTACAGTGCCCCTAGTGGGAACCGAACCCAGGTGTCTCTGGATCACAGGCTGACGCTCCAACTGCTGAGCCAAACCGGCCAGGGCCCTTTCTCTTTGTTTTAATCACCTGGAAATAATCCTACAGATCCCAACTCACTTTTTTCTAAGGTCTCACAGTGTTAGTAGTGGCAGAAGTAGGACTCAAATCTAAGACTGGGAGAAGCCTAGTTCCCAAGACTACCCTACCTTTGATTATTTGCTGGGAGAACTCATAGGAGTTAGTGTGTAGTTGTACTAACAGCTGAGATTTTTTACAGTAACAGGATACAGAGCAAAGTTAGAAAAGGTAAAAGGCACGTGGGACTTTTTTGATTTTTTAAAAAGTTGATTTATAATTTGCATACAATGCAATTTGTAGTTTGAGTTTTGACAAAGAAGTGTCTAGGGCAGCGGTTCTCAAGATGTGGGTTGCGACCCCTTTGGGAGTCGAACGACCCTTTCACAGGCTGAATTTTATTATTTTTTTTAAGATTAGATATTTTTAGAGATGTTTGATCAGCCATGGTTGTGAATAAAGTTAAATTTGCTTTTGGTTTGGATGTTGTTTCTATGTTGATCTCTATTTTTGGTTTTTAAATTATTTGATTGTTTTTATCTTAAAATTGTTTTTTTAATTAAAAATAAATATTTTTCCTTTATTGATTTTTTTTTTTTTTTTTTTATTCCTCACCAGAGGACATTTTTCCATTTTTTGTTCAGATAGAGTGGGAGGGAGAGAGAGGAAGAGAGAGATAGAGAGAAACATCGACGTGAAAGGGACACATCGAGTGGCTGCCTCCCACATGACCCAACCAGGGCCAGGGACAAACTGCAACTGAGGTAACGTGCCCTTAGCGGGAACTGAACCCAGGTCTCTCTGGAACGCAGGCCGATGCTCTAACCACTGACCAAACTATTGATTTTAGAGAGAGAGGAAATGAGAGGGACAGAGAGATAGAAACATCGATGAGAGAGAACATTGATTGGCCACCTCCTGCATGCCCCCCACTGGGGATAGGGCCCATAACCTGGGCATGTGTCCTGACCAGGAATTGAACTGGCAACCTCTTGGTGCATGGGTCATTGCTCAACCACTGAGCCACACCGGCCGGGCTGTTTTGTGTTTTGTTTTTTTAAATCCCCACCTGAGGATTTGTGTTTTTAAATTAAATCTAATTTTCTAATTGATTTTAGATAGAGAGGAAGGGAAAGAGAAAGAGAAACATCGATGTGAGAGAGACATTGATCGAGTTGCCTCTCATATAGGACCAGACCTGGGATGGAACCACAACCTAGGTTTGTACCCTGACTGGGAATAGAACCTGCATCTTTTTTTTTTTTTTTAATTTTTTTTTTTTATCCTCACCCGAGGATATTTTTCCATTTTTTGTACAGATAGAGTGGGAGGGAGAGAGAGAGAGAGAGAAACATCGATGTGAAGGGACACATCGAGTGGCTGCCACCCGCACGACCAACCAGGGCCGGGGACAAACTGCAACCGAAGTACGTACCCCCAGTGGGAACCGAACCCGGGTCTCTCCAGACCGCAGGCCGACGCTCTAACCGCTGAGCCAAACTGGCCAGGGCGAACCTGCATCTTTTTGATGTATGGACAATGCTCCAACCAGTTGAGCCACCTGGACAGGATTGTTTTTATTTTTTGATGCAGTTGACTATTAATACGCTTTCAAAGAAAAGGCACTAGAAATTGTTTAAAATATATTTTAAAAGATTATTCATTGAAAAGTAATCCAGGAAATCAAATCTCTCTCCTACCCTGCCAATCATATTCTTCAGATATCCTAGGGATAACTATTACTAAACTCTTTTCTATGTATGTGTGTGTGTCTTAAAGTATATATAATTGTTTTTTTTTAAATATGTTTTTATTGATTTTTTAGAGAGAGAGGAAGGGAGAGGGAGAAACACTGACGAGAAACATCCATTGGCTGCCTCCTGAATGCCTGCTGTTGGGGATGGAGCCTGCATCCCAGGCACATGCCCTGACTGAGAATTGAACCAGTGACCTCTTGGTGCATGGGACGATGATCAGTCCATTGAGTCACATTGGCAAGGCTATAATTGTTTTTGTTTAGTAAAAATGAGATCATACTATATATGTTGTTTTGCAACTTGAATTTTTTTTAATGTAACAGTAGTTTTTGAAATCTTTTACATCACTACATATGAGTCTACCTCATTATTATGGGTTTTTATAGCATTAGTCGTAGTATAACTTATTTAGTTCTCTGTTGGGTAGTTTATATTGTCTTCAAAATTTCACTCATACAAATAATATTACGGAGAACATCTTTGAGTATTTATCTTTTCTACCTTTAAGAATTTATTTGTAGGTTGTTTATGTATTTATAACCATTTCTTTTATTTTCAGTGACAAACGTTGCCACCGAAGGAGGGAATGATAATCCAGATGAGTCTGTGAGCGCTGACATTTCTGACACAGAAGAATCTCAAAAGGATGCTCAGACAGTTCAAGAAGAACTGCAAACTCTGACTTTATCAGGACAGGATTCAGAACAGATTGTATTAGAATCAGACCTAAATAGAAAGAAAAAAAAGAAACACCAAGATGAAGTTGGTAAACAAGAAGTAAAACATCTTTCAGGAAATGCCACTGTTCAGCCAGGCCCTTCTAAAGGAGAAAAACAGAAAAGTAAGTTTCTTACATATTTTAATTGCCTCTGTATTGTTTAAGGACATGTGTACAATAAATGGTGTGTAACTTAAATGACCTTCTAGATAGTAGTAATTAATAATGTTTATTAATTGGTTCTGTATTTACGTACTGTGTTAAACCCTTTTATTTTTAATTTAGTAGGAAAAGAGTTGTAAAAAAACAACCAAATGAGATTTTTCTCTAAAGTTTGTCTCTAAGATGTGTTACCTTCTATGTACTCCCATTAACAATGATAAGAAGTCACATGTATTTACTGCAAGTCCTCAAATAATGTGGTTTCAATTCAGCATCATTTTTTTTACAACTTGATGAGGTGCCTTAGGAACTTAACTCTTATTTATATCAATTAGTCTGTGGTAAAATTGGTTTTGTTATATGTCATTTTGCCTCAGTTCCAAGAATCTTGACAATATAAAGTGAAGACTTAGTTAAATGTATATTGCTTTTGTCTGTTAATAACTCATAGGTTTTCATGTTACCTTTTCAGAGTACCTCTGTGAACCCACAATAAGTTGTTTAATTTCCGTAAAAGAGCTAGTGGAATAAGTATTTCTCCTATTTTCATTTTTTAAACTTTTTTAGAATGCAGACATATTGATACATATGAGTTGCTAGGGAATGAGGGCTAAGAGTTTAGGGAAGTCTTGGTCTCTTTCCTTAAGAGTTCATGTATAGATTACTTAAAGTAGATAATCAAGTAAAGGGAGGAGAGCCCTGGCCAGTTTGGCTCAGCGGTTGGAGAGTCGGCCTGCGGTTCAGTTCCCGCTAAGGGCGCGTACCTTGGTTGCAGTTTGTCCCCGGCCCTGGTTGGTCGTGCGGGTAGCAGCCACTCGATGTGTCCCTTCACGTCGATGTTTCTCTCTCTCTCCCTCCTGCTCTCTCTGAACAAAAAATGGAAAAATGTCCTCGGGTGAGCCGAAAAAAAAAAAAGGAGGAGAAAAAAATAATAGCAGACCAGAACAGGCTTTCCGTAGAATTTAAATTTTATATGGTTCAGCTTCACCACTATTATTTTTTTATTCTTCACATGAGGATATTTTTGTGCTTATTAGCGGATACAGTGGGAGAGAGAGAGACAGAGAGAAACACTGATATGATAGAGCCACATTGACTGGTTGCCAGCCGCGTGACCCCACCACAGCTAGGGACAAACCGCCCGCAACCGAGGTACGTGCCCTCGACCAGAATCGAACCCGTGACTCATTGGTCCTTGGGCCGATGCTGAGCCAAACTGGCCAGGGCACCACTATGATTTTTTTTTTTAAATATTTTTTCTTTGTTGATTTTAGAGAAGAAGGGAGAGGGAAAGAGAGACAGAAACATCGATGAGAGAGAACATCGATTGACCTCCTCCTGCATGCCCCCCAGTGGGGATTGGGCCCACAACCTGGGCATGTACCCTCACCGGGAATCAAACTGGCAACCTCTTGGTGCATGGGTCGATGCTCAACCACTGAGCAACATCGGCCAGGCACCACTATGATTTTAATAAATGAGTTCTGGTAGGTAGCATAGTATGATTTACAGGCATTACAATAGTATCTTCTTTTGTAGCTTACTATGAAAGATATTACATGTAAAGCAGAATAGCTCAGTGATTAAGAAATTGACTTTGGAAATCAAGCAGACCTTGGTTTAAATTTCAGCTCTTTTTAAAAAAATATATTTTTATTAGGTGTTTTAGAAAGAGAGCAAGGGAGAGAGAAATAGAAACAGCGTGAGAGAGAAACATCGATCAGCTGCCTCCTGCACGCTTCCCCACTGGAGATTGAGCCTGCATCCTGGGCATGTGCCCTGACTGGGAATTGAACTGGGACCTGTCAGTCCATGGGATGACTCAATCCACTGAGCCACACCGCTGGACTAAATTCCAGTCCATTTGCTAAGTATGACCTTGGGCAGAGGTCACTTAAGATCTTTTAACTCAGATTCTTTTTTTCTGTGATGGGGTTAATATAAATACATTTTAGTAGGATTGTTTTGAATATTAAATGAGATAGATATTTATCTGATGGACTTACAGTTTCTGTCATTTAATAAGTACTGAAATGATAGCTATTACTATTATAATTATGACACTTGTGAAGGAGAAGAGCCAAATCCACTTTGTTTCCTAACTAGACATATTTAACCACTTAACATTTAAGCAAAATAAAAGGTGGAGGCTACAAACTGCCCCAGAAATTTATGCTGATCCTCACAACACAAACAGTTGTATATTGATTGATTTTTTTAATGCTCTAAAAATATGATCTATCTCTTGCATATAAGTCTTGAATGTTGACTGGATTAATGATTTATAGGAAGAGAGGTGTTATATGTAAATTCCTTTGAGCTTTAGAATATAGGTATTTTAGCTGTCAGTTTTTAGAATAACTTGCATTTTGTATTCATAGATACATGTCAGTCTTTAAGGCCTGAAAGAAGTGAAGATGAAAGCAATAAGGAACAGGACCTTTCCTGTGCACAGAACATCAGTGAAGTTGAGGATTTATCCTCCAGTGACAAAGTTATGGAAATAACTGACCCCATTCTTTCATCAAGGTATTTTATATATCTTTCCTCACTTTGTCTACATTTTCTGTCAGTTACTGAGAGACGAGTGTAAAGTCTCCAACTGTGATTGTGATTGGCCTATTTCTCTTTTCAGTTCTATTTGTTTTTCTTTATGTATTTTCAGGCTCTGTTATTAGGTACATACATATCTTGAACTGTTGTCTTTTCGTAGTAAAACTACCCTTTTATTATCTGTGTGATATCATTTTGGTATTGCCTTTTGTTCTTATGCTTGCTTTGCCACTGCAGCTTCCTTGTAATAGTGTTTACATGGGTTTATCATTTTCTTTAAAATTTTTCTCTTTATTTAATTATTTTTTTAGCAGTTTGAATATGATGTAGTCTGCTGTCAAAGTTTTTATGTCGTTGTTTTTTAAATTTTGGTAAACACATAACAGATTTCTCCTAACAAAATTTTAAGTGTAGAGTACTGTATATTAACTGTAAGCACAGTATTGTAGATCTCTATAACTTTTTCATATTGCATGACTGAAACACTATATCCATTGAACAGCAACTCCTTATTTCCTTCTTACTGTTAGCCATGGCAACCACCATTCTACTTTATGTTCCTACGAGTTTGATTACTTAGATACCTCATATAATTTGTCCCTTTGTGACTGGCTTATTTCACCTAGCATAATAGTTTTAAGGTTTATCCATGTTGTAGCATATGACAATTTTTTGTCTTTGTTTAAGGACGAATAATATTCCATTGTATGTATATATCACAGTTTCTTTTTTTTTTTTATTCCTCACCCGAGGATATTTTTCTGCTTATTATCAGATAGAGTGGAAGGGAGGGGGTGAGAGAGAGAGAGAGAGAGAGAGAGAGACAGAGAGAAACATCGATGCAACAGAGCCACATCGACTGGTTGCCTCCCACACGACCTCACCAGGGCCGGGGACGAACCGCAACCAAGGTACGTGCTCTTGACTGGAATCGAACCTGCAACTCATTGATCTGCGGACTGACGCTCAAACCGCTGAGCCAAAGTGACCAAGGCGTGGCTGCACCATTTTATGTTTCCACCAACAGTTCACAAGGATTCCAGTTTCTTCACATCCTTGCCAACAGTGTGTTTTGTTTGTTTGTTTGTTTGTTTTTTTAAATAATGGCCATCCTAACAGATGTGAGATGATATATCTTACTGTGGTTTTGATTTGCATTTCTCTGATGATTAGTGATGGTAAGCATCTTTACATATACCTATTGGCCATTTGTATATCTTCTTTGGAGACATGTCTATTTAAGTTCTGTTCCCATTTTTTAATTGGGTTATTTGTGTTTTTGCTATGAGTTGTAGGATTCCTTTTATATTTTCAATATTAAGCCCTTGTCAGATATATGTTTTGCAAATAATTTCTCCCATTTCATAGGTTGCCTTTTGACTCTGTTGATTATTTCCTTTTCTGTACAGAAGCTTTTTAATTTGATGTAGTCTCACTTGTTTATTTTTGCTTTTGTTTTCTGTGCTTTTTGGTGTCATAGCCAAGAAATCATTGCCAATACCAATATTATGAAGCTTTCCTCCCAAGTTTTCTTCTAGGAGCTTTATCATTTAAGGTGTTACCTTTAAGTGTTACCTTTAATTCTTTAATCCACTTTGAGTTGATTTTTCTGCATAAGGTGAAGGTCCAGTTTTATTTTTTTTGCATGTAGATGTCCAGCTTTCCCAGTATCATTTGTTGAAGACATCATTCTTTTCCTATTGTGTCATTTTGGCACCCTGTCAAAGATCATTTGGCCATATATACGTGGGTTTATTTCTGGGCTGTCTAGTCTGTTCCATTATTCTATATGTCTCTCTTTTGAAAAATCTGATGGACGTTATTTATTCTCATGTAGAAAAATACACATACACACATGTGCTGATTTATTCATACAGTTCAAAGTGTTAATAATTTATTTGAAGCTGAGCCATGGACCTCTGATTCCCTTTTTAAAAATTTTATTTATTGATTGATTTTTAGAGACAGAGAGAAACATTGATTTGTTGTTCTACTTATTTATGCATTTATTGGTTGCTTCTTGTATGTGCCCTGACTGGGGATTGAACCCGCAACCTTGGCCTACTGAGATGATACTCTAGCCAACTGAGCTACGTGGTCAGGGCCATGATTCTTGACTTGATAGGTTATAGACTTCTAAATTGTGACTTGAGAGATACAACTTATTTCATAAACTGCACACAAAACAATACTGATTATTTTTTCTAATTTAGACTATTTTTTTCAAAAATAGTCTAATAATGACTATTGAAATCAACTGGTTTTATAAAACAGCAAACTGGCCCTGGCCGGTTTGGCTCAGCAGTTAGAGCGTCGGCCTGCGGTACAGAGAGACCCGGGTTCGGTTCCCGCTAAGGGCACGAACCTCGGTTGCAGTTTGTCCCCGGCCCTGGTTGGTCGTGTGGGTGGCAACCACTCCATGTGTCCCTTCACATTGATGTTTCTCTCTCTCTCTCTCTTCCTCTCTCTCCCTCCCGCTCTGTCTGAACTAAAAATGCAAAAATGTCCTCGGGTGAGGATAAAAAAAAAAACAAAAAAAAAAACAACAACAAAAAAACCCAGCAAACTGATACTAAAGTTGTTATATATACAAGAGTAAGGATCATGGATAGTAAATATAATTTTGAAAAACAACTCTAGAGAGGAAATATATTAAGATTTCTAAAGCTAGAGTAATTATAGCAGTGTAATACTGGTACAGGGACAGATAATTGACTCAGAGGAGTGAATGTAGAGTCTATGAAGAGATTTAGGAATTTGATATACAGTAGAGGTGGCATTAGAAATTAGTGGGCAAAGATTGAACTATTATTCATTAGTTCGTGCTGAAATATGAAGTCTGTAATATTAAATCCTTATTTCACTCTATACACTAAATTCCTCATGGATTAAAGACTACATGTATAAAACAAATATTTAAAACTTTTAGAAGAAAACATCTTGTGACGCAAGGAGTTTTGGACACAGAGCACAAACTTTAAATAAAAGATAAAATTAATAAATTTGCAGTAAAATTAAATACTTCTGTTGACAAAAGGCTCCTTAAAGAAAGAAGAAGGCAGGCTACTGAATGGGAAGTTTTGTGTGTAACATCTAACTAAAGAACAAAGAGCTCTTTTAATTAGTTGGGGAAATCTAGAAAAAAATGAGAAGGGGGAGGGAAGTGTGGCTAAATGTGAATATGGGTGGAAACCAAGTGCTAGTTAGTACGTACATGGTTCATTGTTTATATTGTTAGTTGAAGTATTTCATAATACCGTAGTCCTCTCTTTGTAAGGCACAGCATTAACTGCAACTTACGTATATTGGAATTGTGTCCTCGGTTTACACGAGTTTTGGTTAACACTATAAGTTCATGCAGAGCAAGGACTGCCTATATAAAATTTTATGTTTGAAAAAAAATTTTTTTCCTCATCTGAAGATATGCTTATTGTTTTTAGAGGGGAAGGACGAGAGAGAGAGAGAGAGAGAGAGAGAGGAGAAAGAAGCATCTATATGAGAGAGAACATCAATTGGTTGTCCTTTGTACATGCCTCAACCTGGGATCAATCCTGCAACCTAGGTATGCATCCTGACTGGGAATCAAACCCACAACCTTTCGGGTATGGGATGAAGCTCCAACTGACTGAGCCACACCGGTCAGGGCTATTTTTTTTTAAATTCTTACCCGAGGACACTTTTCCATTGATTTTTAGATACAGTGGGAGGGAAGTAGAGAGGGGTGGGGGAGAGAGAGAGAGAGAGAGAGAGAGAAACATCTATATGAGAAAGACACATCTATTGGTTGCCTTGCATGACCCCAACCAGGGCTGGGGATCCAACTGCAACTGAGGTACGTGCTTTGACCGGAATCGAACTCTGTGGGCCAATGCTCTAACCACTGACCAAACCGGCCAGGGCCTAGTTTTGAATTTTTTTAAGAGTTTATTTGAGCCAAACTGACACATATTCTGGGGAATAAGATTTCACATGCTCTCATAAAATTTTAATGAAAGACAATTCCTAAGTATTACTATGATTTTACACCTATATTTGATTTGTGAACCTCATATAATTAGGACTTTATCTTTTGTGATTTTTTGAGCACTTTCCCAAGCTTGTTAATTTGTGGTATCTACTTTCTTTGAAGGAACAGTTCTTAATAGCATGATGCAAGAAAGATCATAGAAAAGCCAAAATATTTGTTTTAATTTTTCTATAATATGAAGTATTATCATCCATAGTATTGGTTTGTATACAGTATTTTAAAAAAAATTTTTTTTTTTAATCCTCACCCGAGGACATTTTTCCATATTTTGTTTAGATAGAGTGGGAGGGAGAGAGAGAAAAACATTGACGTGAAAGGGACACATTGAGTGGTTGCCACCCGCATGACCCAACCAGGGCTGGGGACAAACTGCAACCGAAGTACGCGCCCTTAGTGGGAACCGAACCCGGGTCTCTCTGGACCGCAGGCCAATGCTGTAACCGCTGAGCCAAACTGGCCAGGGCAGCATTTTTAAAATTAAAAAAATAATAATTAGTATAAAGTATGCATTACTAAGAATTTCTTTTCTCTCTGATGTTTTCATTTCCTTTGTAGTCAACAAGATGCCATATCAGTAGCAACTGAGACTTCAGAATCAAGCACTTCAGATTTTTGTTCATCAGAAGTTGGAATTAGAGCCTTGTGTGAGGTGAATAATGCTGAGAGTAGCTGTACAGAAGAAATAAATGTTGAATTAAAAAATATATCATTGTAAGTATTTTACATGGTAGGATTTTAAAATTTATTTTCAAATTTTTAATAATTTCTTATCATTTAAGAAATGATAATAATATTGCTTACTTTATTTATTATTGCCAAGGCAGATTCTCTGATTTTTAATGTCTTGTCACATTTGTACTCACTCGTGTTGCCTCTCTCTCTGTCTACTTTTAATATGTACTTATCTTTTTAAAAAAATATTTATTGATTGATTTTACAGGATCATTTTGTTGCTCCACTTATTTATGTATTCATTGGTTGCTTTTTGCATGTGCCCTGAACAGAGATCTACCCCATAGCCTTGGTGTATCAGGATGACGCTCTAAACATCTAGCTACCTGACAGGGCAATATGTACTTTTGTTATTGGAAGTGAAGCTGAGTATCTCTTCACATTCAAACCTATTTCTGTTTTTTAAATTTTTGAGTTATACAAATCCTTTGTCCAGTTTTTTTAAATGTATTATTGATGCTATTTTTTGTAGGCCTTCTTTATATTTTAATGAGGTAAGCCTTGTGGAATGAGTTGCAAAATATGCTCCCTTAGTTTGCAGTTTGACTCCTGATTTGGCCATATTTGGGCCATGTAAAATATTTTATATTTATGTTGTTAATTTTTTCAGTTTTTATTTCTTTTATGGCTCCTGAACTTGTAATCAAATTTTAGGTCTTATCCTACCTCAAGGTTATAAAAGAACACTTGTCCATGTTTTCTTTATGGTTTCATTTAAATCATTAATCCATTTGGAATATATTGTGAGTACAGTGCAAGGAGTGGAGCTGATTTTATTTTCCCCATTATTACTAGTTTTTCTATCATTTATTTAATTTAATATTTATTCTTAAGAATATATTATTTTGTATTTCATCTTACCCTCACTGTTTTGAAATGCTACCTTTATACTAAAATCATGTGTATTTTGGGTCATTTCAATTTTCATTTGTGTTTCATTTGTCTGTTTCCTCATCTGTCAGTACCACAGTGTTTTAATTATTGATGCTGCATACTGTGTTTTTAGCGTCTAATAGAGCAAGTTAGTTGCCTCATTGATCTTTTTCAGTTTTATTTGCTACTTTTTTATTGTGAGCAAGCTTAAAGGAGTTTATATCTGGCTCTGAGTGGATTTTAAAGAATTTTATTTAATATTTCTGAATGATAATGCAATTTAAATAATACTTTTTAAGGGAAACTGATCAAACAGAAAATGTTAAACCAATGGTGAGAGGACGACTCCAGAGACCTAAACCCAATTTATCAAGGGCTGTTGGGAAGAAATCAGTTCTCTCACAAGGTAAAACAGATGCAAAGAGCAAGAGTTTACATCCAGAAACTTCAGTTGAAAAGGTACGTAGTTAGAGACTTTCTGGAAATTAAAATTATAAAAAAATTTGGAAAATAAACACGTTTAGTTGTAATTATAATGTTTCTGATACTAAAACAAAGATACAAGAACTTACATATTACTATAAAGTGTCTTACTAGTCTCCTGCTTATGCATTTTCTTTAGAACAACTTACCATTAATATTAAATTTGTCTTACTAGGCTCCTGCTTTTTTAAATGTTTATTTAATTTTTAAAATATATATGTTTTTATTGACTTTTTAGAGAGAGGGGAAATGAGAGGGAGTGAAAGAGAGAAATATTGATGTGAGAGAAACATTGAAGTGAGAGAGAAACATCGATCGGTTGCCTCCTATACTCACCCCTAGGAGATTGAGCCTACAACCTGGGCATGTGCCCTGACCTCAAATTGAAGCAGTGACCTTGCAGCGCATGGGATGATGTTCAACCAGCTGAGCCACACTGGCCAGGCTTATGCATTTTCCTTAGAACGTAGGACAAATTTTAAACATTTCAGTAACAATAAATCTGACTTTTCATGTATGAAATTTTTATTCAAAATATATTTTAAACCAGTTATACATAAGTTTATATCTACAACCCTTTCATTTAAACACAGGTACATTCCTCTGCTTGTCCTTTATAAACTTTTTATGTATGTAAACATTTCTGTAGTCCTTAGTCATAACATAAAACTTAAAACTTTTTTCTTTGAAACCATTTCTACTTTTTGTGATTAATTGATCTTTTTAATAGTTGCATCAGATTTACTTACCAATTGACTAACCATTTCTCTAATGGTAGATGTTTAGGTTATTTCCATTTAAAAAAAAAAATCTCTTGAAATAAAAGCAAACAATTTTGTAAATAGGGCTTTTTTTAAGGATAAGACAAAGAATAAATTTCCAGAGGTGGTGACATTAATTTGGTCAAAGTAATCTTTTTTAATATTAAACAAAATTTTTTTTCTTTATTGATTTTAGAGAGAGGAACATTGATGAGAGAGAACATCAATTGGCTGCCTCCTACATGCCCCCCACTGGAGATTTGATCCACAACCTGGGCAGGTGCCCTGACCGGGAATTGAACTGGCAACCTCTGGGTGCATGGGTTGATACTCAACCACTGAGCCACACTGGCCAGGCTATTTTTAATATTTTTGTAGCTCTTCTGCATTGTCTCACAGTAAAAAACATGACTCTGTTTACATTGCTAGAAGCATCGAAAGAACGTTCCTGTTTCCTCATATTCCTGCCAGCATTATATTGTTATAAATTTTTTATTTTTGCTAAAATGCTTTTTAAAATGTTAGTCTACCTTTTTCCTCTTATGTGAAATATCTTTTCTATCATACTTTTTATAATATAGTTATATTATAATTGTATATTTTTTATTATAGAAAATTGGGGAAATATAGATTCATATAAAAATTAAAACAACCCTGCCCTAGCTGGTGGCTCAGTGGTTGGAGTGTTAACCCTTGGACCAAAGAATCATGGGTTCGATTTCAGTCAAGAGCAGGTACCTTGGTTGCAATTTGATCCCTAGCCCTGGTGCAGTCGTGCAGGAGGCAACCAATTGATGTGTGTCTTTCTCACATTGATGTTTCTCTCTCTCTCTCCCCCACCTACTCTATCTGAAAATCAATGGAAAAATATACTTGCGTGAGGATTTAAAAAAGAAAAAATTAAAACAGCCCTGGCAGGTGTGTCTCACTCAGTTGGTTGGAGCCTTTCACATATAGATGTTTTTCTCTCCTTCTTCCTTCCTCTCCCTCTAAAAATCAATAAAAACATATTCCTGGGTGAGGATTAAAATAAAAAATTAAAACAAAAACTGCTTGTAATTTCATTATTCAGATGCAGCTAACCTTTTAACATATAATTTTTCCAGCTTTTCTTTTATAAGCTTGAGTAGTAGTATTAATTCAGTTTTGTATCCTTCTTTAATACTTAACATTTTATAAATATTTTTCCATATTATTAAACATCTTTTGAAAACATGGTTTTTTAATTTAGTGACTTCATAATATTCTGTCATTAGATGTGAACTGAATTTATTTAACCATTTACTCTTTATTGAATATTTTGTCTGTTTACAGTGTTTGCTATTTTGTTTATATTCCAGTGAGCATCTTTGTACTTAAATCCTTAAATATTTTAGAATAGAATCTTAGAAATCGTATTACTGGATCAGAAAGTATGAATATTTCTAAGGCTTTTGATTCATTTTGGCAAAATGCTTTCCAGAAAGGATATACTGATTTATGCTTTTGTCAGTAATGTATCAGGTTCTACAGAGTTTGGCAAAAGTAGGTTTACAGTTGTGAGTATGTGAAACACAAGTTTATTCTTGTATTATTTTTCATATGAACAATTATAAACCTATTTTTCTCCACTCTATATGTTTTATAATACTTTCATCTGAATGTATGATTTTAAAAACTCTCTTCTAATTAGAAGTACAAAAGAAATTTTAATTTCCCTTTATTTATTACAAAGTTTGAACTTTTTTATGTTAAGTAGATTAAGTGTAAAATATTGAATTCATAGACTCTCATGGAAAAGGATAAAACGAATTCATATGACATTTCCGGAATGGAGAATACAGAGAGAGAGAACTCAGAAGCTGATACTGTATCTAAGTAAGTATTTAGGACATAGAATAAAAAATAGGAACTCTTAGGAATGATTGTAATAACTTGTTTTCTACTTGATACTGTATGAAGTTTCAGCTTTGTACTTAAGTCCATTTTTAACAATTGGTATTGTTGAAACATTTTAATAATGCTCCTTTTGTTTGATACAGGGGTGGGCAAAAGTAGGTTTACAGTTGTGAGTATGCAGTTTATTTTTGAATTAATTATAACCTGCATGTCTTTTTTCATACAAACAACTGCAAACCTACTTTTGCCCACCCCTGTGTTGTAGAAATAAATTTTGGTATGGCTCCATTGAGTTAGCAATTACTTTTCTCCCTCAACTTATTAATAAAATTAAAGTCTTGTTAGATAAGTTGTCATGGGTAAGATATGTGTTTCTGGATAATTTTATTTATAGCAAGGGGTTTCAAAAGGGGATATTCAGCTTAACAGTGGAGGTCTAGAATAGGCATTGCTCTACTATAAATCTGAACCAGTGGATTATGGACTGTACATTCATGCCATAATCTGCTTCTGGTCCCCTGGAGGTGTATATTACATAATATTATGCTTAGTGGAGAACTGTATTACATGCTTGTGAGGTGTAGATTTTCCAGTTTTGTGATGAAAACTGAAAGAAAAGAATACTGAAAATGAACAAGTATGTGACTTCATAATAACTATTGATTTTATTCCTTTGTAATTGTTCTAGTTTGTGTGAAAAAACGAATCTGCAGGAAGATGATCAACCAAAGGCTTTCAGACCTGCACGACTAATGAGGGGCCGATTGCAAAGGCCAAAGCCAAACGTAGGTAAAGCTGCTGAAAGAAAAGAAATCCTTGCATCACAGGAAGAAATAGGGGCCAATGTAGAAAAGAATGAAAATGAATCCTGTTTTGATACACATGTAAGTACTTCGATTCCTCACAGTTTTTTTGTTAAACAAGTATATCAGCCTCCTTTCACCCCTCTTTTTATTTATTTATTTATTTTTAAAATCCTCACCGGAGGACAGTTTTTCATTTTTTGTTCAGATAGAGTGGGAGGGAGAGAGAGGAAGAGAGAGAGAGAAACATCGACGTGAAAGGTACACATCGAGTGGCTGCCACCCACACGGCCCTGGATGGGTCAGGGACAAACTGCAACCGAGATACGTGCCCTTAGCAGGAACTGAACCTGGGTCTCTCTGGACCACAGGCTGACGCTCTAACCGTTGAGCCAAATTGGCCAGGGCTAACCCTTCTTTTTAAACAGCAGTGTAATACAATTGTGTACATTGTTCATTGATATAAGGCCAGAATCTCATAGCCTGCTGCTTTGCTAATTGTAAAGCCATGTAACCATCAGCTCTCTGGATTTTGAGACTGTGGATCATTGACTTTCACCTACCTCATATTTGGACTTGCTTTCCCCCATTACTCTGCATGTTTTGAATTACACTTCCCTTTTGAAAATATGGCTAGATACATGAATTTTAATGCTGGCTTAAACAGAATAAAATGTTAAAAACTCCCTACTCAAATATAATTCTAAGAACAAAGATTGTGGAGTTTTAGATTATTTACATAATAACTAGTCTTTGTGATAAGGGTAACAGTTGGCATAATTTGAGATTTGAATTTCTTGTTACAATGCCCAAGGTTTATAATGTGATTATGATAATAAGATGGATTCAGAAAGATAGACCCCAGGGTATAATGCTTACAGATGAGACTGAAGCAGTTACTTGCTTTCGGACTGGGAAGAAAATGGGGGCTTTGAGATGAGGTAAAATGGGTGTGGCTTACGACATTTTCTAAGATAGCCAAAGAAAAAAACGAAGAGCTTCCTTGACTATTATTTTATAATTTTGAAATGTTTACTGTTTTCCTTGTACTCAAATTGGACACAGTTTTTATTGAACTCTTTTATAAGTGGTGGTTTCATTTTGAAACTTAAAACTTTTTAAAAAATGTGTTTGTTATCAAGATTCCTGAACAAATAGAAGATCAATCATGTAAAAATTTTGAGAGTGAAGATGCCACATCACAATCTGAAATAAAAGATACTTCTTTTCAAAATGTGCAAGCAGATGAACCCAAGTCTCTTAGTGAATGTCTAAGGTAAGCATCATCTTATTGATACAATTTTAAAATTTTGTATAAAGTTTTAGAAATTGTTAATTTTTAAAAACAAGCAAATCATACTGATTGTTTTCTTTATGTCAAGTTATGTAATATTTAGAAATATAACTTTAGTTTTCAAGGCAATATATATCATAGCCTTCATGTTGGTTTGTCAGTTATGGATGATCTGAAAAGAGCTACCCATCATAAATTATACCTTTAGTTAACATGGATAGGACTTCCATTTAACATGCATGTTAAATCAGATGTCTGTGTCCAAATGTGAAAATGTTTCTTATTTTTTAAATATTTGGTTCTTTGGGATTAGATTGATCACATATTGCCATTATTTTAAGGCTTATATACATTTTATGTAAAACCCCTATATAAAGACCCATACTTCTCACAGTCAAAACTGTTTATATTTGTTATTTCCCCTCTGGAAGGCACCAAACCAGATTGATGGAATTATTAATACACTTTAATTTTTTTCCTTTTGGGAATATTTAATATGCAAAAAGCAGTGTGAACAGAATAATGGACTCCCATGTACCTACTGTCTAGTTTAAACAATTATTAATATTTTTCCAATCTTTACATTTCAAGTCTGGCCTATTCTATACTTTGTTATAGTTGTATTAGCCTGTTTACTACCTAACCTGAGAGTGAAAGCTTAGTTTCCTGAACTATTTTAAAGAACTTTATTAGAAGACAGAAAAATCCCTTTATTCTCATCTATTCTTTTGCTTATTTTCATTCCTCTACTGCCTTCTCGAACCCCCAAAGTATTTTACTACTCTGTCACAGAATCTCTGGATAGAATCCTGTACAACATTACTTGTTACATATGTCTGATAATAGATAATAGTTACAGGTATCTGACAGTTTGGATTTTTTTGTTTATATTTTTTTATGTTTAAGCCAGGCTTCATTTTTAAAAAAATCCTCACCAGAGGATATACTTTTATTGATTTTTAGAGAGAGAGGAAGGGAGGAGGGGGTGGAGGAGAGATGTGAGAGTGAAACATTGATCAGTTGCCTCCCACATGGGGTCGGACTGGGGATTGAACCCGAAATCTACATATGTGCCCTGTCTGGAATTGAACCTGAGACCTTTTGGTATACAGAATGAAGTTCCAGCCAACTGAGCCACAATAGCCGGTGCTAAGCTGGACTCCATTCAATAGTCTATATGGCTTGGTAGAAAATTAAGTTTTTCTCTTAGTGATTTTGGGTTTTAGAACCCTAGTAGATCTGGTCTGATCTCAACAACTTTTTTTTTTTTCCCAAGAAAGAGAAAATAGAGAATGAGACTCTGAGATGAAGAATGTATTAAAAATTCTTCTTGAGCCCTGGCCGGTTTGGCTCAGCGGTTAGAGCGTCCGCCTGCGGTCCGGAGAGACCCGGGTTCGGTTCCCGCTAAGGGCATGTACCTCGGTTGCAGTTTGTCCCCGGCCCTGGTTGGTCGTGCAGGTGGCAGCCACTCGATGTGTCCCTTTCACATCGATGTTTCCCTCTCTCTCTCTTCCTCTCTCTCCCTCCCACTCTGTCTGTGCCAAAAATAGAAAAATGTCCTCGGGTGAGGATAAAAAAAAAAAAATTCTTCTTGATTATATAAAGTAGCAAATATATCTTTGAAACTTCCCTAGGCTAATTTTGCATCTTATATACTTCATATGATTATCTTATGGAGGTTTATAAATGTATTGTGGATCCTTAAACTCTATATTTTGGAAAAACACATGTGGACCATGAATCAGATTTATAGTTTTGTGCACATTTTTCTCCTGCCTTCTCTAGTTGTGTTCCTCTTTTTTCTTTGCCTTTTTCTTTTTCTTTTTTTTTTTTTATCCTCACCCGAGGATATTTTTCCATTTTTTGTACAGATAGAGTGGGAGGGAGAAAGAGGAAGGGGGAGAGAGAGAGAAACATCGACGTGAAGGGACACATCGAGTGGCTGCCACCCACACGACCAACCAGGGCCGGGGACAAACTGCAACCGAAGTACGTGCCCTTAGCGGAAACCGAACCCGGGTCTCTCCGGACTGCAGGCCGACGCTCTAACAGCTGAGCCAAACTGGCCAGGGCTCTTTGCCTTTTTCTTTAAAAATTCTCTGATCTAGGAGATAGCTGTGGAGCTGTTGTATGTTTTAAGTTGAGAAATAATAGAGTACATTTGCATATCTGATTTCTTATCTCAAGTACTGCCCTTCAGTTAATTATGCAACTGATATGAGCTCTATAAGAGAAGATCAGTCTTATTCACCATTGTATTCCCAGTTCTTAGCACATGCATTCCTGGCATGTAATAGGTGCTTAGAACTATTTGTTGATTGTTTGTTTATGAACTCTAAATAATGTGATGCTCATTATTTATCCATAAGAGTAAAGCTTATCAAAGTCCTTTGATTTCTTAGAGACAATTTAAGCACACAGAATATAATTATAACATTATTTGTATTTTAAAATCTGAATTGATATTGAAGTAGTAAAATTATTAATAAATCTTTTGCTTAAAGCATTTGTGTTCTAAGAATACGCTAGTGTTTAAAATATAACTGTGTAATGATGTTCTATCTTTTCCCATGCTAACCAAACCAAGATTACTAGTACATGAACCTCACTGAAAGCTAAGTATTTCTGGATGGAGAGAAAAAGTATCATAAGTAAAAAAACAGAATAAAATCCACTGAGGACTTACCAAATTAGATTTCCTTTATCAATTGGTATTAATTTGACATGGAATGTTATCTGTTACTAAAGTTAATGATAGTTAAAAAAAACACCTCAATTGTCTATAAACAAGTACAATTTGAAAAGCAGTGTTGTCCTTAGAACCTGCTTTTTAAATTGCATTTAAAAAACCCAGATGTTTCAATAAAGAAAGATAGGTTAGCACCTAGACAAGTTTAAGCAAGCACTAACATAGCCTTAAATCTTTTTTTTATTCTCACCTGAGGACTTTTTTTTGCATTTATCTTCAGACAGAGTGGGAGGGAGAGAGGGAGGAAGAGAGAAAGAGAAACATCGATATGAGGAACACATCAATTGGTTGCCACCGACACAACCCCAATAGTGGCCAGGGATGAACTGCAACTGAGTTACATGCTCTTATCGGGAACAGAACCCAGGATTCTCTGGTCCCTGGGCTGATGCTCTAACCACTGAGCAAAACTGCCCAGGGCCTTAAATCTTTTTTAAAAAGCTGTTGTATATGCTTGTTCTGACTAACATTGCTGAATAGATGTAGTGTTTCATTTGATCTAGTTTCTGCCTGAGATTAAATGACCTTTCTTAACCAGTCACTAAGAGCTCTTTCATTTATTTATATTTTTTATCAGTTTTTACCATCTAGTGGTATGATTAAACAGAAACCAAAGTGCTGTTGCTTTTCTGGAGAACAAGGTACTTGTTCTAGATAGTGATTGTTATGTACCCAGTAACATTCAGCAGACTGTAAAATATTGTTTATTTAATCTTTCCTTTTATTTCCAATTTATATTATGAGATCACAGCTCTTTTAGAAATGTCTATACAGGAAATACCATTTTTATTTGTTTTCAAAAGTGAGGGGGTGCAAACCTAGTTCTTAGTTATAAGGCTGTGTCTTGTTCAAATCATGCCTCCATCCAGCTGTCTGAGATGCCAGTAAAGTTTGGCCATATATGGCAAGACATATGTCTGTGTAAAGGATAGTAGGGACAAAATTATAGGAATAGCAGACACAAATTGGGCTGGCTTCAGTGTAGAGCCTGGAGAGTTTTTCTCAGACAGTGTTTCTGAAGAATGGTGTGGGTGACTATTAGAGAGAAGAAGGAAGGAGAGAGAGAGAGAGAGAGAAGGGGAAATATCAGTTTGTTGTTCCACTTATTTATGCATTCATTGGTTGATTCTTGTATGTACCCTGACCAAGGATGGAACGTACAACCTTGGTACATGGGGATGACGCTCTAACCAACTGAGCTACCTGGCCAGGGAACTCTAATTTTTAAATTTTACCCGAGATTCTTGAGGCTTTCTTAATTTTTTTTTTTTTTTAATTTGAGAGTTCCTGGTGTTTCAGTAGTGAGTTCTCAACCATCATTTCTTGAACTGGCAATCTGGTTTAAAATTTGATTGTTTTTTTCTTTTTACAGTATTCAAGAAGATAATAAAGCAAATACACTTAAACAAGTTCCAGTTCTAAAGAAGCGATTTCAGAAACCAAAGCCAAATATAGGACGAAGAATGGGAAGAAGAGACATTTTCTCAAAGGAAGAGGTATCAGAGGAGGTTGTTTCTGGGAAAAAAACAGCAACAAGACTAGAAATGTCACCAAGGGAGAAGGTACCAGTGGAGGCTAACATTACTAAGGAAATGGAGTCAGAGTTAAAAGAAACGGGAAGAAGAGACATCTCTTCCAGGGAGAACATACCAGAAATGATTGACATCACTATGGAAATGGAGACAGGTTTGAAAGAAACTGGAAAAGAGATTTCTCCAAGGAAGAAGATTCCAGAGGTGACTGGTGCCACGGAGGAAAGAGAGACAGATTTGGGAAAAACGGAAAGAAGTGAAATAATCTTACGGGAAAGTGCCCTAGAGGATGCCAGCACTGTAGGAGCAGTGGAGACAGGTTTGGAAGAAACTGGAAGGGAGATTTCTCCAAGGGAGAAGGTACCAGAGGTGACTAATGCCATCGAGGAAATAGAGATAGATTTGGAAGAAACTGACAGAAGAGAAATACCCACACATGAACAGGCCCCAGAGGTCAGAACTATAGGTGAAGTAGAGACAGGTTTGAAAGAACTTGGAAGAGAGGTTTCCCCAGAGGAAGAGATACCAGAGGTGACTGGTGCCACTGAGGAAACAGAGACAGATTTGGGAGAAACTGGGAGAAGTGAAATATTCTTACAGGAAAGTACCCCAGAGGAGGTCAACACTGTAGGGGAAGTGGAGACAGGTTTGGAAGAAACTGGAAGGGAGATTTCTCCAAGGGAGAAGGTACCAGAGGTGACTGGTGCCACTGAGGGAAGAGAAATAGATTTGGAAGAAACTGAAAAAAGAGAAATATTCACACAAGAAAAAGTCCTAGAGGTCAGAACTATAGGTGAAGTGGACACAAATTTGAAAGAAATTTTCTCAAGGGAAAAGGTACTAGCAGGGATCAGTGCTATAGAGGAAAAGGAGATTCATTTGAAAGAAACTGGAAAAAGGGACATTTCCCAGATGGAAATGGTATCAGGAAAGATGGCTGCCATTAAGGTAACAGAGGCAGATTTGAAACAAACTGGAAGAAAAATTTCCTTGGGGCAAAGTGGATCAGAAGAGATCAGTGCTGTGGAGGGAATGGTGGCAGATTTGAAAAAAACTGGAAAAATAGACATTTCTCTAAGGGAAAATGAACCAGAGGAGACTGGGACCTCACTACAAACTGAGACAGAATTAATGCAGAGCGGAAGTGCTGACTGCAGTGCTGTGCCTTCAGTGAATGTCAAAGTATGTATCTTTCTGTCCTTAAACATTTCTAATGCTCTTTCAGAGAAACATCAAAACAATTCCATGATTATTATTGAGTCCAGCAATGTTTAAAAATCTCTAAAGCCTAAAGTCTTTCTTAGTCCTAAGTTCTATGTTTTGGGACCTTGAAGAAACAATATATTCTTTTTTTTTTTATCCTCACCTGAGGACATTTTTCTAGTTTTTTGTTCAGATAGATCGGGAGGGAGAGGAGGAGAGAGAGAGAGAAAAAGAAACATCAACGTGAAAGGGACACATTGAGTGGTTGCCACCCTCACAACCCAACCAGGGCTGGGGACAAACCGCAACCGAGGTAGGTGCGTGTCCTTAGCGGGAACTGACCCCTGGTCTCTCTGGATTGCAGGCTGACGCTCTAACCACTGAGCCAAACCGGCCAGGGCAACAATATATTCTTTTTTTTTTTTTTATCCTCACCCGAGGATATTTTTCCATTTTTTGTACAGATAGAGTGGGAGGGAGAGAGAGGAAGGGAGAGAGAGAGAGAAACATCGACGTGAAGGGACACATCGAGTGGCTGCCACCCGCACGACCAACCAGGGCCGGGGACAAACTGCAACCGAAGTACGTGCCCTTAGCGGGAACCGAACCCGGGTCTCTCCGGACCGCAGGCGGACGCTCTAACCACTGAGCCAAACCGGCCAGGGCAATAATATATTCTTTTTAAAAAAAAATTTTTTTTTTGCCCTGGCCGGTTTGGCTCAGCGGTTAGAGCGTTGGCCTGCGGTCTGGAGAGACCCGGGTTCGGTTCCCGCTAAGGGCACGTACCTTGGTTGCAGTTTGTCCCCGGCCCTGGTTGGTCGTGCGGGTTGCGGCCGCTCGATGTGTCCCTTCACGTCGATGTTTCTCACTCTCTCTCCCTTCCTCTCTCTCCCTCCCATTCTATCTGTACCAAAAATGGAAAAAATATCCTCGGGTGAGGATAAAAAAAAAAAAAAAAAAAAAAAAAAAAAAAAAAAAAAAAATTTTTTTTATCCTCACCCAAGGACATTTTTTTTTTGTTTTTTGTTCAGATAGAGTGGGAGGGAGGGAGAGAGAGAGAGAGAGAGAAACATTGACGTGAAAGGGACACATCGAGTGGTTGCCACCCGCACGACTCAACCAGGGCCGGGGACAAACTGCAACCGATGTACGTGCCCTTAGTGGGAACCAAACCCGGGTCTCTCTGGACCGCAGGCCAACACTCTAACTGCTGAGCCAAACCGGCCAGGGCTCTTTAAAAAAAAATTAAAATGCTTTTTAATTATAGGAAAGTTACTATTTTTTATTTATTAGAAACATTGATGTGAGAGAGAAACATCGATTGGTTGCCTCCTGCATGACCTCGACCGGGGCCGGAGATCAGACTTGGCAACTCAGGCACATGCTTTTGAGTAGGAATTGAACCTGTAACTCTTTGGTCTGCTGTCTGACGCTCTAACCCCTGGGTCAAACCAGCTAGGGCAAGCTACTATTTTTTTTTAATTCTCACCGGAGGATATTTTCCTATTTATCTTCAGATAGAGTGGGAGGGAAGGAGAGAGAGAGGGAGAGAGAGAGAGATACATCCATGTGAGAGGGACACATTGACTGGTTGCCTCCTGCATGACCTCGACCAGGGTTGGGATCGAACTGTAACATAGGTATGTGCCTTTGACCAGACTCGAACCCGTAACTCATTGCTCCACGGGCCGACGCTCTAACCACTAATCCAGACTGGCCAGGGTGCAAGTTACTATTCTTAATGTTAGTTAGAAGTTATTGTTTTAGATAAAAGAAGTAAATAAAATTGGATTGGATTTGTGCTAACTCTAGTATGAACATACATTAGAATTATCTCTTTGGACTATAAATGTATCAGTTTTTTTTCTATTTTTCTGCCTCATTCCACTTTACTCCAATTTTAAAAGTTGTTTTTATTAAAAATTTTCACTTATTTGAAGTTGATCTTATTCTAACATTTTCAAGGACTTTTTATTTTTTTGAATAGGTCAACAATGGCATTTGTGGCTTGGAAAAATGATAATATGCAATATAGAAAAAAACTTAATTTTATGTTTTAACATTTATAAATTTTGTTGTATTTAAAAATTGAAAAAACAAACATCTGGTTTTTAAAGAAAAGTGTTTAGAATATGGTAGGCTTTTGTTGAAATGCTTAAGGAATCTTATATATGTGCTGATTTACTGTGACTGTTCTTCCAGAACATTAGCAGTGAAATATTATCCATGGTGCATACATCTGTAGAAGAAGCAATACATTCTGAAAAGGAAGTGTCAAGTCAGTTGAGTCATTGGAAGACTTCTTCGCAGACTTCTGAACTCGATAAAACAGAAGACCAGGGGACGAGATCTGCAGGTGTCCCAGAGCAGTTTTCAGATATTAATTTAAGGTACAAGTATATAGGTCTGTGTGCTTTTAAAGAAAAAACATATAAAGTTATATTTGCAGATTATGTTAAATTAAGTGAGATTTCAAGACATAATCTATAGCATAGTGTTAGAGGTTTAAGCTAGTTTGGGGAAGACTGGGAGAGAGGATTGAGAATATTTTGACAGTTGATTGTGAGAATTAATAACATACAGAATTGTATGTAACACATCCTCCTAAGTCAATATGGTTGTGACAAACCTGTATTTTCTTTGTGCAAAGATGCTATAACTCCTAGGCTTATATCTGTCTGGATTGTACCACTCATTTTTTTCAGGAGCTCCCAAATAGATTTGTTTTTCTGTTAAGAATTAGAATTAAATGTTTACTGCCAATCTCTAAGGTTATCCGAAGACTCCTCTCCCATTGCCCCTTCAGTTCATTCTAAAAACTTCATAATCCTTGTTCCAAAAGCAAATCTCTTCCTCAAGAACAGAAGCCATTTAAGCCAGCACCTTTTATGAGAAGTCGATTCAAAAGACCCAAACCAAATTTATCAAGAGCAGCTTTAAAAAGAGAGATTATGGCAGCAGAAAAACATGTACCTGGGAAGAGATTGGAAACAGATGAAATAGAGACTGGTGTGGTACAACATGATGGTGAACAAATGAACACTCTCCCTTCTCAACAAGTGAGTGATATTTGAGGTGGCAGTTTCTTGTTTTAGTTAATAAAGTAAAACAACTGGAATTTAAATTTCACGAATGTTTCCCCATATACCTTTTACTGTATGTGATTTTGTTGTAGCTGTACTTAATGTACTTCATTGTTCCACATGGTTTTTGTAAGAATCTCAAATCTCTGATGATGGGTAAGTATGTGATGGGAAGGAATTTAAGAAGCCTAGGCTCCAGTTCAAGTTCTGACCTTTGTTTGCTTTGTGATCATAGCCAAATGATGCAACCAGTTTCTTCGCAGGAAAAATGGAATGACAGTTTTTTATTTCACTTTTGTGAAGGTGAAATAAAACATTAAAGGTTTGGGGCCAGTGTGACTCACTTGGTTGGAGTGTTGTCCCGTACACCAAAGGGTCATGGGTTTGATTTCCGGTCAGGGCACATACCCAGGTTGTGGGTTTGATCCCCAGTTAGGGTACATGTAGGAGGCAACTGATCGATGTTTCTCTCTCCCCCCCCCCTCCTCGCTCTCTGAAATTAATTAAAAAAACATATCCCCAGGTGAGGATTAAAAAAAAATTAAGAGCTTAATAAGAGTTAAAGGAGATATTTTATTGACTTGGTTTATAACAAAAGAAGACTGTGGTGGCCCTGGCCGGTTTTGCTCAGCGGTTGGAGTGTCAGCCTGCGGACCAGAGAGTCCTGGGTTCGGTTCCCGCTAGGGACAAGTGCCCAAAAAAATAAAAAATAAAAAAAAGAAGACTGTGGTGTAGCATCAAAAACTTTGAAGTGAAATGTTAATACTCATAAATTGAGCGTTCTAAACATATAATGTACTTTTTAAAATTAAAATTCTTATTTTGCATCCTAAAATATATTAGTTTTTACTGTGCTTGAACATTTGTACTTTTTTCTTCTAATCTTATATTTAAAAAAGATAACTCATTATTGATTATTTTATCTGATTATAAAAATTTCAAATAGGAAAAAATATAGAACCTAAAAAGTGAAAGTCCCTATAATGTCCCATCTCTCCCTCCAAAGTTAATCATGTAACAATTTTTAATATACCCACCCACAATTTTTTATATTGATACTTAATATAAATAATAAGATGTGAGGATATTTTTATTGTTTTACAAAAATAACATCATAGCTTGCCTTCTGATTTTTTTTACTTAACACAATATCATGAACATCTCTTTTTAAATTTTTTTATTCCTCTGAGGATATATTTTCATTGATTTTTTTTTTTAGAGAGAGGAAGGGGGCAGAGAGAGAGAGAGAGAAACATTTATCATTCGCCTCCCATACAAGCCCAACTGGAGATCAAACCTACAACCTAGGTGTGTGCCCTGACTGGGAATCAAACCTGCAGCCTTTTGGTGTATGGGATGATGCTCCAGCGAACTGACCCACCTGGCCAGGGCTGTAACATCTTTTGGGATCAGTATTTAGACATACTGTTTTATGTTTTTATTGATTTTTAGGGAGAGAGGAAAAGCGAGGGGGAGAAAGAGAAACATCGATATGAGAGACATTGACAGGCTGCCTCTTGCACATAATGTGGCCGGGGATTTGAACCCACAACCCAGGCATGTGCCCTGAAATCAAACTGGTGACCTTCCAGAGCATGGGAGAGTGCTCAATTAACTGAGCCACACCGGCCAGGGTAGTATTTAGAAATTTATCTTTATTTATTTATTTTTTATCCTCACTCGAGGACATTTTTCCTTTTTTGTTCAGACAAAGTAGGAGAGAGAGGGTGGTATAGAGAGAGACAGAGAGAAACATCGACGTGAAAGAGAGACATCGAGTGGCTGCCTCCCGCATGACCCCAACCAGGGCTGGGGACGAATCGCAACCAAGGTACGTGCCCTTGGAATGGAACCCGTGACTCATTGGTCCACAGGCCGATGCTCTAACCACTGAGTCAAACTGGTCAGGGCTAGAAATTTATCTTTTAAATGGCTCTGTAGTGTTGTATTATAAAGAAATTATAGTTTATTCAGTCCTTTAGTAATAAGTTTGCCTTGTATTCAGTTTTAATTTATTTATTTTTTTAGTGTAATGCTGCTTTCTTTTTTTTTTTGTTTATTTTTTTTGCTTTTTATTTTTTAATTTTACTTTATTAATGACAGTATTATAGATGCCTCCCATTTCCCCCCATTTCTTTCTTTTTTTTGGGGGGGGTGCAATAATATTGGTATAATGAATTTTCTTTTTTTTTATTTATTTTTTTTATCCTCACCCGAGGACATTCTTCCACTTTTTGTACAGACAGAGTGGGAGGGAGAGAGAGGAAGAGAGAGAGAGGGAAACATCGATGTGAAAGGGACACATCGAGTGGCTGCCACCCGCACGACCAACCAGGGCCGGGGACAAACAGCAACCGAGGTACGTGCCCTTAGCGGGAACCGAACCCGGGTCTCTCCGGACCGCAGGCGGACGCTCTAACCGCTGAGCCAAACCGGCCAGGGCTGAATTTTCTTGTATATAATTTTCTAGATACTTATTTGAGTATTTTTTTTAATCAAAAAATTTTTCTTTTACAATTGAATTTTTTATTTTATGTACAAAGAGATAGCATTCTGTGGTAAGGTAGATGTTTTGAATGGCTCATTCATAGAAGTTCACTTAGTCCAACTTAATGAAGCAAGTGTCCTTTGCATACTGAGGGAAACACTGACGGCACATATTGAGGCCATATTTCCAGATCAGACTGTACCGGTTTGAGCAGACACAGCAAGAACGAGAACCCTGGCTGAATTTTCTTGGATGACTCCAGTAGAGTTGCTGGTGACCCATTTTGTTCACTCTGAAGCAATGAGACAAAAAACTAATCAAATTTTTAATACATGAGCATGGGGAACTCACAGTCATGAAAATTTAGCAAAGCAGATTTATTTTATTTTATTTTAAATATGTTTTTATTTATTTTTAGAGAGAGAGGAAGAGAGAGAGAGAGAGAGAGAAATATCATTGTGAGAGAGAAATACCAATTGGCTGCCTCTCACTTGCCCCCTGCTGGGGATCGAGTCTGCAGCCAGGGCACGTGCCCCGACCAGGAATGGAACCGGGACATCTCAGTCCATGGGACGACACTTGATCCACTGAGCCACGCGGGCTGGGCATGTTTGAGTATTTTTATAAGACATTTCTAGAAGTAGAATAGCTGGGAAATAAAATTTTTACTAGATCTGCCTTATTCTCTACAAAGACTATACTAATTTATTATTTATAATTTATTATTCTAATAGTATATGACAGTTCATATTTTCTATAGTTTTACAACCCTCAATGAAATTTTAAAAAATCTCTTTCTAGGATGCATCTTCTCTAATGACATTAAGAGAAAAAGACAAATTAAGTCACATACAGGAGGAGGCTGGGATATTACCGTGTGTACTGACAGAAAAGAACCTTTCACCTTCAAGTTCTGAACCTAAAGAGGCCTCTCAGTCTACACAAGGCCAGGAAAAGGAATTACTTGTTTCTATGGGGTAAATAGTTATAGTCCTTTGAAAATATAAAATAAGACAGAGTTCTTTCAGATATGTCTTTATTTTTATTAAGTGTGTTACAGTATTTTAAAAGTGAATATAAACAATATTGTACTTGGTTTATTTTTATTCATAAGCAGACTACCTATAACATTGAAAATCATATTGAGTTTATTTCCTTTTAATGTTTGTTTAATGCTGTTCATTGCTTAAGATCTTACACAAAGCAGTGCATTTAAAAATATGTGTTTATGTATTATTTGTCTTTTAAAAAATTGTGGTAAAATACATATAACATAATATTTACTTGTTTTTTTAATCTTTACACGAGGACATTTTTGCATTTATCTTCAGATAGAGCGGGAGGAAGAGAGGGAGGAAGAGAGAGAGAGAAACATCGATGTGAGAGAGACACGTCAACTGGTTGCCACCCATACAACTCCAACCAGGGCTGGGGACAAACTACAACTGAGGTACTTGCCCTTAGTGGGAACTGAACCCTGGACTCTCTGGTCCGTGGGCTCTAACTGCTGAGCCAAACCTGCTAGGGCAATATTTACCTTTTAAACATTTTAAGTGTATAAGCCAGTGGCATTAAGTACATTCACATTGTGCAACCATCGCCACCAACGATCTCCAGAACTTTTTTTCCCCCAAACTGAAAGTTTGTACCCATTAAACAATAACTCCCTATTCTCTCTTCCCTCAGTTCTTGGCAGCCATGATTTACTTCATTACCTTTTAAGAATTGAAGTAGCCCTGGCCGGTTTGCTCAGTGGTTAGAGCGTCAGCCTGCAGACCAATGAGTCGCGGGTTTGAGTCCCATCAAGGGCACGTACCTCGGTTGTGGTTCATCCCCGGCCCTGGTCGGGTTCATGCAAGAGGCAGGCAGTCAATGTGTCCCTCTCATGTTGATGTTTTTCTCTTCCCTCTCTCTCTCTCTCTCCCTCCATCCCTCCCACTCTATCTGAAGATAAATTGAAAAAAAATCCTTGGGTGAGGATTAAAAGAAAAATAATAAAGAGCATAAGAATTGAAGTATGTTCTTTTATAAAATAAGCTATATTTAAAATCTGAAAGTAATACAATTTTTCTTTAATGCTATGAGATATTTTTATAGAGAAGATATTTTCATTAGAAGAGACTCAAATTTTATATTTTTATAGTAGTTTTCATCTTTTTACAGTGAAGTCCTTCTATTTTTCCCTGTCCCTCTTTCTAGGACTTATAATATAAACACTTTTCAAGAAGAAATGAAGGAAAGTGTTATCCAAACTACTCGACCAATAAGGGGCCGACTTCAGAAACCCAGACCAAACATAAAAAAGGCTGGACAGAGGCAAATGGTAGAAAAAGGTGAAGCCAAAGGCTTAGTAAAAGAAGAAAGAGTAATACTACAAAAAAATGAAACTGAAAAGAAATTCCTGACTGTGGTGAGTAATTGTTATATAATTAAGTTGAGCCTTTTAATGTACATTAAAATATTAAATGATAGCTCAGACTTGTCTTATGTAATCTGACACTCTGTTCAATGAATACATAATGTACCTAGTTTTGTTTGAGATTTGCCATTCTGAATTTTTAAAAAAGTAAATATGGGTATTTTTTTTCTCTGACTAATGAACCTATTTGTTGTGAAAATCTTTAATTAATACAAAATAATATAATAACTACCCCAAATTCACCACCTTGAGATAACCACTGAAAACCTTTTGATGTGTATTATCAGAAGCGTGCGTAGGTGGACACTTATGTAAATTTAAATACTAAAGTCATTATATGCATGTTATTTTGTGACTGTTTTTCATTTAATATATTAACGGATTTTTCTTTGTCAGGAATACAGAGATAAATTATTTTTAAATGCTGCATAACATTCTGCTCTTTTGAGTGACAATTTAACCATCTCTTACTGATGGGTCTTTTGATATAAGAAACAAATCTAAGTAGAGTAATGCCTATTTCAACAGTTCTTGTTTTTCTGTCCTTTTCTTTGTCTGTTTAGGAAAAATCTGGATTTAAAGTTATTGTAATTCTTATTTGAACCTCCTGAATCTTTTTTTAAAAAAGCATTAAACTTTTTTTTTTGGTTTCACAACAGATAGTTATTGTAGTTTTATTTTTTATTGGATATTACTTCCAATAAATACAGTATTTATTAAACATATCTTCAGTTGTTTTGTTATAGTTTGCAACAAATTATAATATTCTGCAGCCACAAATTATATGCAGAGTATGAAGAGTATTAATCAGATAGTGTAATCTTTCTGTTTATAACTCTGCAAGGAAGAACTAGCAAATCAGATCTTACATATCACATCTCACTAAACTGTATGCATGGAAAGTGACAGACCCTGGTTGTGCTGTTTGATACAAAATGACTGAACTTTATCTTTAGAGGACTAAACCTGATATCTAAACATGCCAATATAAACAGCAAAATATAAGATATTCTAACCAACCACGGGAAACAGTCTGGTATCAGAAAAGCAACAAGGATTACACACATTATTTTATAAACCAGCACACAAAGGCTTAAAACAGTTCTGAAAATGAAGTTAGCTGTCTTGAGTCAAGGGAATAAAAAAAGTCCTTTGTGGAGATGGTAAAAATCTGTTAGTTATTGCAGTTTTAAAAGGATCATCTAAGGATATTACTGCAATCATCTCTGAAACTTTCTAAACTAGGCAATTTTGTTTTGAGCAAGCAAAACACGAACAAACCCAGTTTGAGTCTTTATTTTTAAAAACTAAATACCTTTCTTAATGATTGAAATATTTTAGGAGGTGTGTTCTGTTGTTTTAAAAAAACAAGTATGTTTTTGTCATTTCAGCCAAATTCTCAAATTGGAACTGAAATTGAAGTTGTATCCTCCAAAGTTTCTGAAGGAAGAACATATGAAAATCAGAGCCATGTGGCTCTTGTAGAAAATCTTCATGTTAACAAAATTAATGTTTTAGATAAAAAGATGAGGTGAGTGTGCTTTTAAATCAGGAAAGCATCAAAGATCATTTCAAAGATCAAGGTTGAGTTTTCACATAATTATTTTATATAAAACTTCACTTGAAAATTTTGATGACAAAGTAATAATGAACTAGAATATTTTAAATCTGTTTCTTCAAATACTGTAAGAAATGCACAACTGATATTCTCTTAGTTTGTAAATTCTCTGAAAAGTTTGGCAATCATGCTCATATTTTAAAACTAAACTTTTATAGTAAGCAGGTTCTTAAATTCTTTGTATCTTTAGAAATTTATAATGTACTGACTACAATTCATAAAAAGAAAGTGCTATAAAGCACTTACTATATGCTGTAGTTGGAGCTGTGTCCCAAACCAAATGGTAAGAATGATATCTGTTAAATGGGATATGCTAGAAGGGTATCAGGAAAATCACTTCTGTTGTTACTTACAATCTGCTTTGTTATTACTGATATTAAAGCAAGATGTGTTAGGTTCTTCTTTTTTATTACATAAGGAAAATAAAACACCTGTTCTGGAGATAGTCCACGGTCCATCTAATTTTCTGTACTATCTTTATTACTAAGATATGTTTCAATGAAGTACTTATTAGTTTTCCCCCAGGATGTCTTCAGCACATGTAAATTTATTTTGAACATTCCAGCTTCCTTTAATTATATAGAATTAACTTCATTTTTTTGGCAATGCAGAAGAGACATTACTATAACTCTTTTTCACTCTCTGTGAAGCCATAGAAATAGAATTTGGGCATGTTATATTATTTAACTGCACAAATAGTGCTATTGATTTTGGATGACTTTAAACAGTTTGCTTGCATTTAGGCAGGTTTCTTATATGAAGCTTTTATTGCTTTAGTATGAATTTCTCTCATTTCATTTGTCCCCCTGTGTGGGGGCGTGCGTGTGTGTTGAAAAGCCTTTTCATATTATTTTTATTTTAAAACTAAGGCCAGTTCTTTCTTTACATTAATATCAAGTTTCCTTACTAAGTCATTTCTTCATTTCTTTAAACTGGATGTTTAAATAAAGTGATTGATGTTTAGAAATATTTTCACTAGAATGCATTATAAATAACATTTGTATTACAAATGCTATATTGGATTAGATTGGTGATTGATCCCATTGAATAATTCATTTCTAAAAATGATTCCAGAGAACTTTCTGAGATGTTAATTCTAAAACATTAACGATGAACCTGTTTCTATCTCTGGCTTTTCCTAATTATTATTTTTGTCCATGTATAATTTAATCCCTTTTTGGTCTTACAGAATTACATAATTTTACCACTGAAAAGAATGTCATACATTCATTCATTTAACAAACATTTTAGTGTTTTATGTGCCAGGCATTGTTCTAGATGCTGACAATATAAGACAACATAGGAACAAACAGAAATTCCTGTCCTTGTGGTGATTATATTCTGATTGGGGGAACAGATATAAATAAGTTGAATAAATTGGTAATAAATAAGTAGAGAAGAATAAAGCAGGTAGGGGAGTAGGGAGTATCATGATTGATATTTACTTTATTAAAAAAACTTTTTTTTTCTTTTATTGATTTTAGAAAGAGAGGAAGGGAGAGGAAGAGAGATAGAAATATCGATGAGAGAGAATATCGATTAGCTGCCTCCTGCATGTCCCCCACTGTGGACTTGGCCCACAACCTGGGCATGTGCCCTGACCAGGAATCAAACTGACGCCCTCTTGGTGCATGGGTCAATGCTCAACCACTGAGCCACACTGGCTGGGCAATATTTGCTTTCTAATTAGCAGTGATCAGAGAATGCTTTATTGAAAGGGTAGCATTGGAGAGAAGATCTAAAATAAGTGAAGGAACAAGTCAAGGGGATGTGTAGAGGAAAGGAATAGCAGTTCAAGAACACTTAAGGGAAGAACATGCCTGGAGTGTTTGAGGAATAGCAAAGGGGGCCAGAACGAAACACAGGGAAAGAGAGGAAGAGTAGTAGATGAAAGAAAGGTAAAGTAGTAACCCTGGCTGGTTTGACTCACTGTAGAGTGTTGGCCTGCGGACCAATGAGTCCCGGGTTCGATTCCAGCCAAAGGTTGTGGTTTGTCCCTGGCCCTGTTTGGGGTCGTGTGGGAGGCAACCAGTCAGTGTGTCCCTCTCACATGGATGTTTCTCTCTACCTGAAGATAAGTAGAAAAATATCCTCAGGTGAGGATTAAAAAAAAAAAAGGTAAAGTAGTAGATGAAAGAAAGGAAGAATAATGTAGAACCTTTGTAAGGATTTTTATTTTTATTTTTATTTTAAGTGAGCCTTTAAGGACTAGTGACCTTCAAGATCAGCCTTCCCGAACGTTCTCATCTGTAATTGACTAAATAGACCTAGAGGATTTAAATGGCTTGCTCAGAGTAGCATTGGTGATTTAGTATGTAAACTTAAGTTTTCAGGATATTTTACTTTCAGAATAGCACATTTCTATAGTTGTATAGGCAGAGCTTCCTGAAAAAAATTTTGCATATACTAAGAGATTTTGTGCTCAGCTTTTGCAGTTTTTAAGAAGGTAGATTTAACTTTTAAATTTCCTATATGAAAACCTCTTCCTCACCCTAAATTCTCCCCCTTCCCCACCTTGCAAAAAAGTTTTTAATTGATCTTAGAGAGGGAGGAAAGGACAGGAAGAAACATTGGTGTGAGAGAGAAATATTGATCGATTGCTTCCTGCTTGGACCTGTACCAGGGATCATACCCGAAAACCTGGGCATGTATCCTGACTGGGAATCGAACTGGAGACATTTTGGTACGTAGGATGATGCCCAACCAAATGAGCCACACTGGCCAGGCCCCCGTCCCTTTCTTACCCATCTCTCTTTATGAAGTTTATTCTAGCTGGTAACTATATCTTGAGTTATATTTTCTCCAGAGTGTATATTCTGTATAGTTTCTAAGTTAGCTTATTCTTTTTTTAAAAAAAAAAACACTTTTTTTTTCTTTATTGATATTAGAGAGAGAGAGGAAGTGAGAGGGAGAAAGAGAGAAATGTCAATGAGAGAGAACATCAATTGGCCGCCTCCTGCATGTCCCCTCACTGGGTATCAGGCCTACAACCTGGGTATGTGCCCTGACTGGGAATCGAACCAGTGACCTATTGGTGCATGGGTCGATGCTCAACCATTGAGCCATACCAGCCGGGCTAAGTTAGCTTATTCTTGCTTAACTGCATTTTCTTGTCCCTTTTGACTTCAGTAGCATATTGTAGCTTATATATATATATTTTATTCTTTTTTTTTTTTTTTTTCCTCACCCGAGGACATTTTTCCATTTTTGTTCAGGTAGAGTGGGAGGGGGAGAGAGGAACAGAGAGAGAGAAACATCGACGTGAAGGGACACATCGAGTGGCTGCCACCCGCACGACCAACCAGGGCCGGGGACAAACTGCAACCGAGGTACGCGCCCTTAGCTGGAACCGAACCCGGGTCTCTCCGGACCGCAGGCCGACGCTCTAACCGCTGAGCCAAACCGGCCAGGACTATATATTTTATTCTTAAATACCTTCATAGAATCATACTTGATTGTAAATAGACTATACCTAAGTTAAATATAATTTGTTTCCCAACTGCATTAGCCTACACTAGATGGATATTAGTTAACATCATATCCTTCTTAGAGCTTCTGTGAACCTCCTTGATGTTTCACTGCCAGAAGATCTTAGGTTGGAATGTTTGAAAATGTAACTAACTACTTTTTTTTCTTGGTAATTTATTAGAAATGTTACTTAAATACAGATCTTTTAGAGAACTAATGATAGACACTGCTTATCCAGTTATTCTTTACAAATATTTACATTTATATTAGTTTTAAGCTTTCTAATTCAGAATTCATGTCTTTGCCAATTATTTCTTTCCAGGAAACCTTAAGACAGCTGTTTGGGTTGCCTTGGAGGCTATGGCTATTCTATTGAATATTAAAACCTTGTCTTTCTGTGTATTGGCAGATAAAATGGGTTATGTTGAGATTCTTATGACACTGGGTATCAATAAACCCTTTTATATGAGCTGATAGGCATGTGGAGGGAGAGTAGACTCTAGCTTTCAAGCCTGCTCTTGAACCATAGGACCATAGTTGTTGTGACCATTGCATATTTGTTCATGCTTCAGAGCGCAATTGGAGCATTTGTTTAAGGTGACATTATGAAATCCATCTTCAACTACTAGAATTTTTTTATTTGTTTATTTCTAGTTATTGCTCTGAAAATTACTTAAAGTAGAATGAAACCACAAACCAGAATCAATGAAAGTAAAGAAGATTAATATTGTAAAAGTATTCCCCAGGCTGTACAGAAAATGGAAGTTATAAAAGCTTTTATGTTCTTCCTTTCATATTAGCATAGCCAATTTATATATAGTCCTTTGAACATAGGATTAGTTTGTGTCAAAAATTGTTTAATACCTGTTACATTAAGAAAGAATTCTGATTTTTGTTCTTCAAAATGATTTGTGCTTCATTCTAGACATGAACATAAAACGTATGTTTCTAGTCCAGCACCATTGATAAGAAGGCAGTTCCAAAAGGCTAAGCCAAATTTGGGAAGAGCACATGATAAGAAAGAAGAACTAGGTATAGAAAAAGACAGAGCAGAGCCGAGTGAGGCAAGGAAGCCAGAAGATAATTTGCTGCAGCAAGGAAATTCTGACACCCAGCTCCTTCAAAAAGTAAGTTTGAAAAAATATAATTTTTATCAGTGGGCTGTATTTTGTCAGGATTATGAAGAAGAGCATTAAAAAATATATAGTTTTGCCTTTTGTATTGTTACTGTTTTCATGAAAATTGAATGATATTTTAGTAGTATAAAAATTTATACACCAGTCACGTTTTGTGTGTGTATGTGTAAGCAAGCTTGGAATTCTAGGTTAAACTACTAAATCAAATTGCCATAGAGACTGTTTTCGTGGTAATACTAGCTGTTTCTTTTTAAATTTAAGGAAAAAGCTGAGCTTCTGACATCTCTGGAGGTTTCAACAAGAAAAGATAGTGTAGGTTCTAAAGAGGCTGGTTTGGCCAAGAAAGATGCTCAATCAGAAGTTGGACCATCAGGAAATATTGAACAGAAAACTGTAGGGGATAATTCTGTGTCTTCAGTTGTTGAAGAGCGGCATCTCAGTAAACCAGCCAGGTAAAATTTTACGTAACTAATACTTTCAGAAGAGAAAATGAAAAGTCATTTTTTATGGATGTCCTACCTTAATTTATTGATAGAGTAAAAGATGGGTTGTTAACAGAAGTATAGATTGTTTTTTATTGATAGGTATATTTCTTTCCCCGTTCTTGATTTTTATTTACTAAAATGTACTTTTTCTGATCTTTCTAGGGAGATTTTCTTTTTCTAACATTTAAAATCTCTGGGGATTAACAATGTTAGACAAGAGCAGAAAGAAGCCCGACCAAAGAGTAGTATGCAGTACCTAGAGTACCAGTTCAAATGGGGTCACAAACACAAGTGAAGGGTACCCTTCTTTCATAATTTTCAAGAAAAGTGGAAGGGAACCTAAGTTCTTAACAACAACATTGTTCTAATGGATTTTCTGCATCTTCTTTTCTTCTTTTAGCCTAATCTCTTGATCCAATAGGATAAACCAATATCACTTTTTAACCTCATATTCTGTATGTATTAGCCCATTGACCGTTATTCCTTTTTCTTCTGATAATTTCCAGTCTTGCATTTCATTTCCACTTAAATAGCAAGGGGCAAAACAGCCCATAAATAAAACTTAATATGAAAAATTTGTGGGTAGATAACAAAGAGTGAACTCTGAATGAGAAACTAATAGTAAGTTTCTTCTTTTCACAGTATAAATTTTGACAGAATGAATTGTGGGAGTTTTCATTTTAAAGGCTTGAGTTGGGATTTCACTTTAAAAGTTTGGTTTTCATTAAAATTATCCTTGTGCATGTAGTGACTTTGTTGTTATTTTGATTAAACCTCCAGCCATTCACAACTGTTAAAAGAATCAAATTACTCTAAAAGTGCTCTAAATCGAAGAACTACTATCTCTTCTGCCTCTGGATGCGAAATAGATAATAGTGAAAGGAGAATGCGTCGAAAGATCAAACCAAATGTCAATAAAGGGCGTGGATCAAAACGAATTCGGAGTAAGACTTCTAAGAAGGAACCGAGAGCTTCCAAGGCCATGCTGGTGACTCTTCGAGCATCCCAGGAAGAGGATGAAGATGATGTTGAAGATTTTGAATCTGCCTATGAAGAAGAAAGCTATCATCTTGCTCCAGAAGAAATAAACAAAGCTCCAGTGTTTGTACCTGTTGGTCTCAGATCTCCTGAACCTGTTTCTGCTCAGATTGAGGAAACGATGGAAGAGGTAGTTTGTTTTTTGAATGCATGGAACTTGATCTTGTGTTTTTCTTTTAGTGTATCATTTTTTCTTCTCTAAGTGATTATTAGGATTTGTAGAGTTCATCCTCTAAATTACTTCTACCTAATGTAATTTTTATAGGTTCAGGCTGAATTCTGGTTGGTAGAGAAGGTAGAAGGGACATATACCTATATATTCTTGATTGTGGTAAAATACACATTAACATAAAATTTACCATCTTAACCATTTTTAAGTGTATAGTTCAGTGGCATTACGTATATTCATTGTGCTATACCATCATCACAGTCCATCCACAGAACTTTTTTTATCTTGTAAAACTAAACCTCTGTACCCATTAAACAGTAATTCCCCATTACCCTCTTTCCTTTAGCCTGTGCCGGTCACCTTTCTACTTTTGTCTCTGTTACTTATACTCTAGGTACGTCATGTAGTTGGAATTATATAGTAGTTGTCCTTTTTGTTAGTGGCTTATTTCACTAGCATAATGTTTTCAAGGTTCATCTATGTTTTATCATGTGCCCGAATGCCCTCCATTTAAAGGTTGAATAATATCCCATTATGTATGTATACCATATTTTGTTTATTCATCTGTCAGTGGACAGTTGGGTTGCTGCCACCTTTTGGTTAATGCAAAGAATGCTACTTTATAAATATGGGTGTACAAATATCTCTTCTAACTCCTGCTTTTAATTTTTTGGGCAAATATACCTAGAGATGGAATTGCTAGATCGTATGGTAAATTAAAAATGTATGTTGCCCTGGCCGGTTTCGCTCAGTGGTTAGAGCGTCGGCCTGCGGTCCAGAGAGACTGGGTTCGGTTCCCGCTAAGGGCGCGTACCTTGGTTGCAGTTTGTCCCCGGCCCTGGTTGGTCGTGTGGGTGGCAACCACTCGATGTGTCCCTTTCACATCGATGTTTGTCCCTTTCACATTGATGTTTCTCTCTCTCTCTCTCTCTCTCTCTCTTCCTCTCTTTCCCACTCTATCTGAACAAAAAATGAAAAATGTCCTTGGGTGAGAATTAAAAAATAAAAAATATATATATATATATATATATATATATATATATATATATGTTAAATATTTTTAAATTTAAGTTTCACTGATTTAAAATTTTTTTTATTGATTTTATAGAGGGAAGGGAGAGAGAGAAACATCGATGAGCGAGAAACATTGATAGGCTGCCTTCTGCATGCCCCCACTGAGGATTGAGCCCCTAACCTGGGCATGTGCCTGACTAGAAAACAAACCTGTGACCTCTTGGTGCATGGGACGATGCTCAACCAATTGTGCCAGGGCCTATTTTTTAAATTTTTTTATCCTCAGAATGTCTGAGGACATTTTTACATTTATCTTCAGATAGAGAGGGAGGAAGAGAGAGAGAGAAACATTGATGTGAGAAAGACACATCGACTGGCTGCCACCCACATGACCCCAACCGGGGCCAGGAACGAACTGCAACCAAGGTATATGCCCCTCGCGGGAACCGAACCTGGGACTCTCCGGTCTGCAGGCTGACGCTCTAACTGCTGAGCCAAATTGGCCAAGGCTCAATCACACAGCTTTTTATACCCATTTCTCTGTTAATAAGGAAATAGGAGCTACACTGTCTTGTATATTGTCTAAGAGATAAATCTTAGTATTTTTAGTTCCCAGATTATATAGGGATTTTTGACCAATAATACTGCTAAATGAAGAGTAAATGTGAGTGAACCCATTATCTTACATAGCCAATTGACAAGACGACTGTCAAGAATGACACTGGTTTTGGGGTTGTGGGAGAGGGTAATTGCCTTGGTAGGGGTAATATATATATCTAAGAGCTTTCAACTCATCTCTATTATAGTACTTAAAACAGTGTATAGTTAGTTGATTATATATTTGTTTTTCCAAGATCATGAGTTGGCAGGGACCAAACTTACTCAGCTTTGTATCCTTGAACTTGTAGCCTTTTAATTTTTAAGGTCGTACTCCATAAATGTTAACAGACTGATGAGATTGTGAAAGTAGAGACAAAGTGGGCATAATTGAAAGTTAAATGCAAGGTACTAGAAGATTAGCCTTGGCAAATTTACTTACTGGTTATAAGAATCACCGACCCCTCAAGAACCTTAAATGTTTTACTTTAGCCAAGTTGCTGGCATATCAGTTTAAAAATGACTTTACTTCAGTTTTTAATCGTGTATGGACCTGGGTTATATTTTTAGCTTAACATTTTATTGTTTGGTTGTGTGTGGTATGCCAAAATGAAATAATGAGACTTTTCATTTTAACAGCTTGAAATAACCGTGAATGTCCCAGATATTGGATTCATAACTGTTGATGAACATCATCTCTCAAACACAGATGTGACCACTCAGGAAATGCAACAAGAAGAAAATGTGAATGTATTATCAGTTGTAAGCATCCATTTTGATGTGTTTAAAAAAATTTTTTTTTGTTTAGTTTCAAAAGACCGGAAGTTTGGTGCTCTTCCTCTCCGGAGCACAGCCATGCCTTTTCCTGTCCCTCTTTTTTCCCCCAGGTGCGTTACTTTTGCCTTTCTCTCTCCTAAGCTCCAAGGGCCCTTCTTTTGCTTCTGCAACTTGCTTCCTGAGCCTGTGCAGCCCAACAGGCTCACTTCTACCTTTGTAACTTTCTAAGGAAAGACTGGAAGTTTATTTTGAATACTTTAGGTTTACAAGAAGTTCTTAGCTAATTTTTGTCATGGAGGGGGCTGTAAATATGAATATAGAAACTAGTGAATAATCCATAGGTTTTATATTTGACTTGAAAGCACTGATTTTTTTTTTTGTATGTGTGTGGGTATAGCTCCTAATATCCTCATAGACTTATGTTGCATTAAATCTATACTAAATACACATTATTTGGAATATATATATTTTTGCTTTTTATTTTTTTTAATTGATTTTAGAGGGAGAGAGAGATAGAAGCATCGATGAGACAGAACATTGATTGGCTACCTCCTGCACATCCCCCACTGGGGATTGGGCCCATAACCTGGGCATGTACCCTGACCTGGAATCAAACCTGCGACCTCTTGGTGCATGGGTCGATGCTCAACCAGTAAGCCACACTGGTCAGGGCTATTATTATTTTTATTAATCCCCATTTGAGGATATTTTTTCATTGATTTTTAGGTAGAGGGTAAGGGAGGTAAAGGGCGGGGGGGAGAAACAATGATGTGAGAGAGACACATCAATTGGTTGTCTCCTGCACCACCGTGCCCTGTGCCGGGAATTGAACCTGCAACCCAGGTACATGCCATTAAGTGGGAATGGAACCTGAGAGCAGACCCTTTGGTCTGCAGTTGATGGTCTAACTGCTGAGCCAAACTGGCCAGGGCTTTTAAAAAATATATGTTTTTATTGATTTTAGAGAGAGAGAGGAAGGGAGAGAAAGAAAGAGAAACATTGATGAGAGAGAAACATTGATCTGCCTCCTGCATGCGCCCTACTGGGGATTGAGCTTGCAACCCTGGGCATGTGCCCCAACCCGGAATTGAACCTGGGACCTCTTGGTGCATGGGACGATGCTCAACCAACTGAGCCATACCAGCTAGGGCCCACGTCAATTTTGAAATCATCTTGTCAACTTCCACAACGATGTCAGCTGGGATTCTGATCGGAATTGCACTGAATCTGTTTCTTTGAAAGTGGTATAGGGTGGTGTATTGCCATCTTAACAGTGTTGAGTCTTCTAGTCTGTGAATATGGTGTATTTTCCCATTTATTTAGATCTTTATTTTTTTTTCAATTGTGTTTTGTAGTTTTTAGAGTATAATTTACATTTCCTTTGTTACATTTATTTTCAAGTATGTTGTTATTTATGATGCTATTGTAAATGAAACTATTTTCTTTCTTTTTTTTAAATTCTCACCTGAGGTTCCTGAGGTTATGTTTTTTTTATTGCTTGAGAGAGAGAAACATCAGTATGAGAGAGAAACATTGATTGGTTACCTCCCATGTGCCCCTCCTGGGGATTGAACCTGCAATCTAGGTATGTGCCTTGACTGGGAATCAAACCCACAACCTCTTTTTGGTGTACAGGATGTCACTCCAACCAACCGAGCCACTTGGCCAGGGTGAAACTGTTTTCTTAATTTTAATTTTGGATGGTTTATTTCAGGTGTATAGAAATACAATTGACTTTTGTATATTGGTGGTGTACCCTGCAAATTTTCTGACCTCAGTTATTGGTTCTAATAGTTTTAGTTGATTTTTTAGGATTTTCTACATATGAGATCATGGCATATGAGAATAGAGATGGTTTTACTTCTGCCTTTCTTTATTAGTTTCCTGGGGCTGCTATAAGAGTACTGTGAACTGGGTGGCTTAACAGAAAGTTATTCTCTGTTCTGGAGGGCCAAATTCCAAAATCTCGGTGCTGTGAGTAATGCTCCTCCTGGAGGCTCCAAGGGAGAAACCATCCCAGGCCTTTCTCTTACCTTCTTGCAGGTGTTCGCGGTCCTTGTCATTGCTTGGCTAGTGTCAGCACAATTCCAACCTTTGCCTCCATTGCCATGGCTTTCTTTCTGTATGTGTGTCTGTGCTGCTGCTTTTTTTTTTTTAAATCCTCACCTGAGGATATTTTTCTATTTATCTTCAGAGAGAGTGGGAGGGAGGGAGAGGGAGAGAGAGAAAGAGAGAGACATTGATGTGAGAGAGACACATTGACTGGTTGCCCTTCGCACGACCCTGACCGGGGTCGGGGACAGACCACAACTGAGGTACATGCCCTTGATTGGAATTGAACCTGCGACTCAGTGGTCTGTATGCTGACGCTCTAACCTCTGGGCAAAACCGGCCATGGCTGTGCTGCTTCTCCTCTGATAAGGACACCTTATGGCCAACCCTTCTGTATGACTTACTATGAACTTGATTATGTCTACAAAGACTGTGTTTCCAAAGAAGGTCATGTTCATTATCTGAGGTTTAGGACTTCAACATATCTTTCTGGGGGGCACAATTCAATTTATAATACTTTCCAATCTGGATATCCTTTATTTTTTTTGCTTGCCTAATTGCCCTGGCTAGAAACCCCAATGTTGAATACACGTGGCAAGAGTGGACATTCTTGTTTCGTTCCTGGTCTTAGGGGAAATCATTTAGTTTTTTCATCATTAAGTTTGATGTTAGCTATGGTTTTATTTTTCATAGATGCCCTTTATCAGATTGAAGAAGTTTCATTCTAGTTCTAGTTTTTGTGAGTATTTTATCATGAAAGGGTGTTAGAATTCATCGTATGCTTTTTCTGCATCTGTTGAGATTATCATGTGATACTTGTTTTTTATTGTTTTGATATAATGTTATATTGATTGAATTTTGGATGTTAAACAAAAAATTGCATCTCTGGGATAAATCCTACTTGTTTATCATGTGTAATTTTTATATGTTTTTGAATTGTTTGCTAGTATTTTATTGAGGATTTTTGTGTCCATATTCATATTAGATACTGGTCTATTATCTGTTACAAATCTGACACCTGCTCCTCTTAGGAAGAAAGCCCTCTAGCTTGGACCTGTGGGGAGAAGGGTTCCTAGTTTCTTGGCTGCAGCAGTTTGAGGTGGAGTTTTTGCCTTACTGAGCTGGGAGGAAGGAGGAAGAGAGCGAGCAATCCTTGTTCAAATATCAGACTCTTGCCTTTGTTAACAAATTTTCATCAATTGCCCTGGCTGGTTTTGCTCAGTGGTTAGAGCATCAGCCTGTGGACCAGAGGGACCTGGGTTTGGTTCCCACTAAGGGCACGTACCTTGGTTGCAGTTTGTCCCTGGCCCTGGTTGGGGTCGTATGGGTGGCAGCCAGTCGATGTGTCTCTCTCACATTGATGTTTCTGTCTCTTCCTCCCTCTCTTCCTCCTGCTCTATATGAAGATAAGTGCAAAAATGTCCTTGGGTGAGGGAAAAAAAATTTTTTTTTCATCAGTTCTCTCAAACAGATGTTTCTTCATCCTATGCCCCTAGGACCATTTTCATAGGCCTTGATGGTTGTTTTTAATAAATTTCACCAGTTTCGATGGGAAAGAGGGTCAGCAGAGCTCCTCATGCTGGACATCAGTCCTGTTACTCCTTAATTTATTAAAATTCATTTAACTTTTAGCTACCTAGTAGTGTAACAAAAATATGATACTTTTCAGACCTTTGTTTCCATTGAGTCAAAACTAATGGCAGCTATGATTAAAGTTGAAGGACTTTGAAAGTGAAGAAGTAAAGTAAGAATGGTAGATGCATATTGCAATATAATCAGAATTAAAGTTTGCTCCCAATATAAGGAGAAGGTAAACTAAGGAGCAAGAGACAAAAGAACTTGGCTTTTAAATTATTTCTGTTCTTGTTTATGAAATTTTATCAGTAATTATAATTAAGGGGGGAGTACTAGTTTCTACTCCATTGTAATCAAAAGCACAGAAAGATCTGTATTTGAGATACAGAATATATATTTGGGAAAATACATAAGATATTACTTTTCCTCTTTTAGGAAATGACCACAGGTGAACATACCCAAGATGAAACAGGTAACTGTTAATAGGAAACTGTTAAAAATTACTTGGTTAACACCAGCAAGGTGATAGTAGTAGTGGTGGTAGTTTGTAAATGAGTCATTTTGCTGAAGAGTTGAACGAGAAGATTTAACTTTTGAATGTATTATCTCTAGGAGAAATGTGTATTCTTGGAATGTTACTTTAAAAAATGAGTTGAGTTAAATATTTAATAAAGAAGTATTTATTTCCTTTGATCTGCATAGATGCATTTTTTAAAATATACTAAGTTACTTAATGGGAGGGGAGGTATTCGCAGTGAGTAAAAGCCAACAGTTGATGATTTCTTTATTTGTAGTGTATAAGCTGAAGAAAGCATTACCTTAGTAAGGGGTTAGTGGTATAGAGGATATTAAAACTTGTTATTAGAGGATAAACGCCTGAATTAAAACTTTTTTCTTAGTAAACAAACTTAAATTCTAGATTCATTTTTCTGTTTTTAATGTTGGTATATTTTTTCACAAGATACCAATGATGGAAGCACTGAAGCTGCCATAACTTTACTTACAATGGGAGATCTAGTGTTGCAGTCAGAGATCAGTACAGAGCAGAGTGATGGTAAGAATGAAAAATAAGTCCTCAAAAAAGAAACTTTTAAAACCCAACTTTTAAGAAATTATACCCACATTTAAGTAATAAGTGAATTGTTGCCTTTTACATTTGAAGTTGGCACCACTTTGTTTTTCCAGAATAGGAAATATGTATGCATTGATCCATCTAACTGCCCTGTTAGATGTGGTGGCCACTATTTCAAGATAGTGTTCTTGCTTTATTAAGAATAACTTGTATCTGTGGAATAGCTACCTTTGTCATCATAAACATCGTTGGTTAGCTGTGCTCATTGATCACAGATTACTTTACACATGTTTCTTTAGCAAAGGAGCCGCCTCTTTGGATAGTTTCACAGTAACGTGACAGTAAAATACTGTATGAAGTGGCAGTAGCCATCATTGAGATTATTTGGTTTAGAATGTTCTGTTGGTTTGGACTGAACCAAAAGATATACCAACCCATATTTTTAATATTTTAGGCAGAAATTACAGAGAAGCAATGGTGTTGACTATCCAAGTTCCTTCTACTTTAAGTACATTAAATATCTAATAAGTATAATTGTGTTAATTAATTTCTTGTTAATTACATTAATAATTTTTTGTTAGTTATTTTGACTGGTGATGAGTAGCCTGTCATTTATTTAGGTGTTAGACTTTTAGGCTGGTAACTATTAGGAAATTCTGATTTGTGGTCCCTATAGGTCTTCTTTCTTTTTTTGAACTTTATTTTACTCTATGAATATGTCATGTGGATACAGAAATGTTTCATTTAAAGATACATAAATAGATTGTATGAGGTGAACAAAGCCATTGTTAATCTTTTTTTTTTTTTTGTTTTTTTATCCTCACCCGAGGACATTTTTCCATTTCTTGTTCAGGTAGAGTGGGAGGGAGAGAGAGGAACAGAGAGAGAGAGGGAAACATCGATGTGAAAGGAACACATCGAGTGGTTGCCACCCGCACAACCGACCAGGGCCGGGGACAAACTGCAACCGAGGTACGCGCCCTTAGCGGGAACCGAACCCGGGTCTCTCAGGACCGCAGGCCGACGCTCTAACCGCTGAGCCAAACTGGCCAGGGCAGCCATTGTTAATCTTTAAAAAAAATTTTTTTAATCCTCACTAGAGGATATGTTTTTATTGATTTTAGAGAGAGAGAGAAAGAGACAGGGGCGGACAGAGAGAGAGAGAGAAAAGAAAAGAAAGTAAAAGAAAGAAAAGAGAAAAGAAAGAAACATCACTGTGAGAGAGAAACATCAATCAGTTGCCTCCTGTACCAGGGATTGAATCCATAACCTTTTAGTGTATGGGAAGATGCTCCAACCAACTGAGCCACCCAACCAAGGCAGGTTTCTTTCTTAATAGCAGTGTACTGCTTTGGAGCCAGTCACAAATCTGTAGAACATAAAATACAGGTTTTAAAAAATTGTAAATAAAGGTGATTCTATCTTGAAATTCATTTGAAGTCATGTAGTTACTGAAAGTAACAAAAAGATTCATTTTTACTTAACAATAACCCAAAGATTTTAGTCTATAAGAATTATTAAGCTTAGAATAGGTAAAATCTTTGGCATGAAATATGAGGTCATACATTTAATTTTAGAGCCCAAAAGAGTAAACTTTCTTAAAGAATTTTGCAGTTGCTAAATGTTGATAGATTTATCTTGTTTCGACATCTATTTGTATTTTCTTGTTTTGTTTTGTTTTGTTTTATTTTTTCCCTATAATAGGAGTGTGTGTTCTCCCTGGTGTTCATTCAAAGGATAAAGGCCATATTCCTTTTAGCCCAGATAATGTCAGTGACAAAATTGTTCATGAATGTCAGGAGCTTTCTTCACCTGTCAGTAGGATACCTCTTTCATCATTAGAGGAAAACAAGATTGTATTGGAGGAACAAAGTACTAAAGAAGAAATTGGTTTAACGGAGAAAGTAAAGGAAACCACTATATCAACCAGGTTTATTTTGCTTTATTGAATTATAATTTCTTTTGAGTTTTACTAAAAAACAAATTATATTATTCTATTAATAAATGTATTTAAACCAACCATCAATTTAGTTAAAAGCTTTGAATAATACTTACATAGATGTAAAGTAGACAGTGCTAATTTCTCACCTTTGAAAGTAATGATTGGCTGATTTTGATTTAGTTTAATGTTTTGCATATTAAAATTTCTGCAATATGTGTATCTTTGAAGCCTTAATGAAATAGTTTCATGTAATAATCATGTAATAATCTCTGTTTTACAAACGTGGTCCAAAAACAAACGTGGTCCAGATTCTCTTCCCTTCTCAAGACTCTTAGTACTTACTACCACGTAATTTTAGCATTAAGAAATGAAACGTATAGACAATGTGGCTCCTTAGAAGGTGGTACATAACTATCAGAGCTAGACAGAATGTATCAATGTGAGAGAATACTTACACATTGACAAATTCCGCCCTCCCCTTTTTCTAGAAATACAACTTCTGAAGTGACCAATAATTTGAGAATAAGAAGTAGATTTGCCAAGCCTAAGCCAAATCATAAAAAGATTTTAGGGACCAACAGATTTGGTGCTCATCAGGAAGTTCCCAGTTTGTTTGTAACCAAAGGAGAAGAAGTGGAATTTCAGAGAGGTAAATTTTATTGTTCCCTTGCAAGGTACAAAATTACTTTGACATGAGAAATTAACATTTTAAATGGAATATTCAGTTGTTAAACTTACTTTAACTTACTGTTAATTTCAAACATATAAAATGTAAAATGAACTATAAAATAAATACCCATAAATCCACCAATTGGTTTCAGTAATTATTACCATTTTGCTATATTTACTTGATCAGACTTTCTTTTTTTTAATTAATTAATTAATTAATTAATTTTTATCCTCACCCTAGGACATTTTTTCATTTTTTTTTTTTTTGTTCAGATAGAGTGGGAGGAAGAGAGAGAGAGAGAAACATTGACGTGAGAGAGACCTATCGAGTGGTTTGCCACCCACACAACCCAACCAGGGCTGGGGACAAACTGCAACCGAGGTACATGCCCTAGAGGGAACCGAACCCAGGTCTCTCTGGACCGCAGGCTGATGCTCTGACCGCTGAGCCAAACCGGCCAGGGTGATCAAACTTTCTTTTTATATATATATATTTTTTGGTGTGTGGTGTGTGTGTGTGTACATGAATACTCAACCCCATGTTTTCTTAGAGAGGCATACATTCATGTGGCGGAAAATAAGACAGTGTCCCAAAGGCATACAAATTTAAAAAATCCCTGGTTCCTAGCCTTCTAATCCCATTTCTAGTGGTAAACTGTTTTTAATGTGGACTTCCAGAAATATTTTATACTTGTAAGTATTTAATGAGAGTGTGTGTGTATAAACCCATATATCCATATATATGTATGTATATATATGTATATTCCTTTCAGAAAGAATAGAAACGTGTATACCGTACACTGTTCAGCACTTTTAAAAATGTATAATTTAATGGTGTTTGATATATTTACTGAGATTGTATTAAACTGTGTTGTATGTAGAAGGTCTGGGTAGTTAGCATCATCTTTTCACTGTTTTGGGATTCCCAATTTCTGGGATTTCTCTTTCAATTAGCAATGCCTGTGGTTCAGTTAGTTAATTCATTACTTTGGTTTGAGCAGTACCTAGAAGCTCTCTCATTATGGAGGCTCAAGTAACCTTTGCTATATAGAAGTCATCTTCTTCCCCTTTACGACATTCTTCTTTATAGAACAGCTCTCTTCCCGGTACTTTACCCACTTCTGAACCTCTTTTGTTTGTGGGTTTCTAATTATACTATTACTATTAATGGAGATACAATTATGGTGGTAGCCAGGAGTGAAACATGTGCAGTGCAGGACTCATTAATCATCTGTTTTACTGTTCAGAAATCTCATTGTCCAGGACTACCTCTCTGCCCTGTGAATATACTTGCTTTTTGGATTGAGGTGTTTGGAAGAGTCCACCAGATAGTGATCTGTTTTTGAAGAGAGAATATGTTTCTAATATGGAGATTTTAGCTGTATTATTTTGGACTACATCTTAAATTTTTTTTATTTAAGAAATGGAGAAAAATACTTCTAAAGCAACAGGATTAGAAGATAAAAATCTTGAATCGGTTACAACAGCAGAGAATAAGGAGCAGAGCAGATTGGCACATGTACATGGTATTGAAGAGACCAGTATTTTGCAGGAAGCAAGCCTAACTGAAAGGTAAAAGAGGAGAGATTGTGGGATTTGGTCACTGTTCTGTTTCAACTATAGCTATAAGCTGTAGCTGTAAGAATTTGATTTAAAAATAAGCAAGAACAGATTTTTGTTGCATTAATTATAACATAAAAGTTTAAAAAACATTAAATGAGATGAATTTGACCTATATAGCTCTAAACATTATTCTGTGGTTGTCTGCTTGATTTCAAATATATACCGAAACTCTAATATTAGTTTCTCTTTCAGAAAGGAAGACCAAGAGCAGGGATCTCAAGAAGTTCAGATATTGTCATTTGCTCCAATTGTTTCCTCTGGGACAAACTCCCACCCACTTGGTTTGGGTAGGGGTCTTAGTGAGAGTTCTTTTGGAGAGCCCCTGAGAAAGGACTCGAATGGAGACAATATGCTTACACTTTATGTGCCAGAGGTAAAGGAATGAAAAATATAACAAGTGGTGGCTAGGTGTTTATTCCTCATTTAAAAAAATTAGGTAGCCCTCCCTGGCTTTGTTTAGTGGTTAGAGCATCAGCCTACACACTAAAGGGTTGCAGGTTCAATTTCCAGTCAAGGGCATGTACCTGGGTTGCAGGTTTGATCCCAGGCCCCAACCGGAGCACATGCAGGAGGCAGCCAATTGATGTGTCTCTCTCACGTCGATGTTTCCTTCACTCATATTGATGTGCCCTGCCCTTCCCAATCCCTTCCACTCTGTCTAATAATCAATAGGAAAAATATCCTTGGGTGAGGATTAACAAAAAAAATTGAGGTATAATATAAACACAATAAATTTCATCCTCTTTAGTGTGCAGTTCTGTAGTTTTTGGCAAACATATACAGGCATGTGACTAATACATGAACAGTTCCATTACCCCCCAAATTCTCTGGTGCCCTTTTTTAGTTACTCCCACCCCCACTCCCAGCCCCTGGCAACCATTGATCTGTTTTGCCTTTGCAAGAATGTACTGTGATAGAATTTTTATTGCATTTTTAGTTTCTGGAGCATAGAGATAAACTGCTAATACCTAACTTTGTTGTAAAAGCTTTGAAAAGGGAAGTGTTTTATACACAGAGAATTGCTACCTAGCTTCTGGATCTGAGAAGTTCATGGACAGAACAGGCATTTATTGAGATGTTATTACTGTGTGTCCAACACTGTGTGAGATGTGGGGATACATAGTTGTGGGGGACATGAATAAATGAATGGGTGCTATGGAAGAGAGTTGCACAAGACTGGGAGTGAATGGTCCTCAACCCACTTTAATGAAATAAATGTCTAGGAGGAAAAGGGCTCAAGCATTAGCATTTTGTTTTGAAGTTCTCCAGGTTATTCTGATGTGCAGCCAGGACTGAGAGAATTCTTGATCTGGAAGAACAAGTGTGAATTAACCAGTTAAAGGGTGTGTATAAAAACAAATGTGAAACAGCATGACATATTCAGGGACCACAGGTAGTTAAGAGGAATATAAATGAAGAAAGTGGTTAGAAACGAAGTTAGATAGATACCATGGGGACAGGTCATAAAAGGAATTTTTATGACTTGTTGAGGAGTTTGGACTAGTTACAGGATCCGCCCTCCCCTACCCCCACCGCCTGCCCCTTCCCACTGTTTTTATTTTGAAATAATTTCAAACTTGGGAAAAGTTTCAAGAAACTTAAATAGAACTCTTCTATATCCTTTACTTGGATTTATTCATTGTTAACAGTTTGCCTCATTTGTTCTTTCTCTCTTTTTCTTCTGTCTTGCTCTTCTTTTCTAGTTAGATAATTCTAAAAATCTGAACCGTTTGAAAGTCAAGTTGCAAACACAAGCCTTCACCCACAAACACTCCAGCTTGTATCTGATAATAACAAGGACATTCTTGTACAGACAAATGACAATACGTTTGTCACACAATGTTACCATAGTATTTAACATTGATTTAATATTATGTAATATGCAGTTTCAGTCAAGGCTTTTCTATTGCATTTAGTTGTCATTTCTTCTTACTGTCTTTTAATCTAGAGTAGTTCTCTTGTCCTTTTCCTCTTTTGTGAACTTGACTTTTTTTTTAATCCTCACATGAGGATGTTTTTATTGATTTTTAGAGAGAGAAGATGAGAGAGAGAGAAATATCAATGTGATTGATTGCCTCCCATAATAGCCCCAACCGGGGATCAAACTCGCAACCTAGGTATGTGCCCTGACCGAGAATCGAACTGGGATGTATGGATGAACTGCAGTCAATGGAGCCACTAGGCCAGGAGCTGAACTTGACATTTTAAAAGAGTCCAAGGCTAGTCTACATTCTGGATTTTTAAAAATGCTTTCTTATTATTAGATTCAGGTTAAATATTTTCTTGGCAAGATTCCTATATAGATGATGATGTTTCTTTGTTTTGCATCACATTGGAAGACACATAATATCAATCTGTCCTATTATTGATGCTGACAGATCACTTGTCTAGAATGGTGCCTCCCAGATTTTTCCATTATAATAGCATCTTTTCTACATAAGTAATTTTTCAGATGAGACCCAGCAGCCTTATACCTGGTAGTTTAAGTATACATTGATGATTCTTGCCTGAGTCAGTCGTCATTGGTTACAAAGAGAGAGCTTTAAGATTTTAACAGTAGAGACTTAGACCAGAATTGCATTTTAGAGAAAACAATGTTTGCAATTTTGTGGAAAACAGATGGGAAGGAGCCATGCTGGAGGCAAGACCAGTTTGCTTCCATTCAGATGTCACCTACTAATAATAGAATAATGGCTGCTGTGATAAGGATAGAGAGAGGTTGAGGGATTTGGATCTCCCTTTCCTATTCAAAATTTGTTTCATAGACTACACATATTGAGCAGTTTAGTCTGAATTCCTGTGTGTGTATTTATTTAATCAAAAGTTTATTGATACAACTAAAGTTTTAAAACACTTGAAAATTGCATATGGTTAGATAATTGTTGAGTTTTGAAAGCATAACTTCAGTATATCAGATTGTCAGGAAATCTTTTTAAAACTGAGATTTGGTCAACCTTACTCTTTCATTTTAATTTTTATGGCAGTGTACACCAGCTAGTATTCCAGAAGTCCAACAAGAGAATGTAATAAATCCTCAAGATTTAACAGGTATGATAATCTGCTTCAGTAAAGTATCATAGAACCTAACGGTATGGTTTTTACCCCCATTTGCCTGTGGTTAAAACAAAACAGTTTTTTTTTGTCTATGATGGCCTTAAAATAAATGAAAACAACTTGCTTGAAATTATAAATCTCCATAGTGAATAATCATTTGTGTCATTTATAAAATTACTTTTTAAAAATATGTTTTTATTGATTGTTTTGCAGTGGTTCTCAACCTTCCTAATGCCACCACCCTTTAATACAGTTCCTCATGTTGTGGTAACGCCCAACCATAAAATTTTTTCGTTGCTACTTCATAACTGTAATTTTGCTACTGTTATGTCTTAGGCGACCCCTGTGAAAGGAGTGTTTGACCCCCAAAGGGGTCATGACCCACAGGTTGAGAACTGCTGTTAGAGAGAGAGGAAGGGAGAGAGAGAGATAGAAACATCAATATGAGAGGGAAACATCAATCGGCTGCTTCCTACATACCCTCTGCTGGGGATCAAGTATGAAACCCCAGGCACGTACCCTGACTAGGAATCACTGGGATCTCTCAGTCCATGGGACTGAGCCACACTGGCCGGGCTGAAATTACTTTGTATATTTTAGGTGTAATTCATTTTTTTTTCTTGGTCATAAGTTGTTTTGAGACTTTTTAGAAATGAATTAAATTAATGATTTTCTGTTTTTTCACGGTTCAGCTTTTCATTACTAACTTTTAAATTTTTATAGTGAATCTAGTTGCTAATGTACATCATGGTGGTGAGGATGAACAAGCATTCATTTTAACTCTGGTGGAAATTCCAACCAATGCAGTAGAAGAATTTACTGATACTGCTACACAGTTAATGCCAAACCCTTTACTGCCAGCACCCATATTGGTCAGATCAGTGACTGCAGAAGAAAAGGGTGACATGAGGTAATGAATGAGCTAAACTGTTCTTGCTAGTTGAAAAGGTGTTTTATGAATTGAATAGTTTTGATTGGAATGTGCCATTCACCAACATTATTTGTAATTGTTCTAGATATCTTACTTAGTAATTATGTGGTAAATTAGAAAAAAAATTGTTTATTTTATAAGTGATGAAGATGTTACTTAAATGGATCATATATTTTGTATGAAACTTTGGTATTTTATGTATTTTGAAAGCTAAAAACACTTAGCAATCTGGATCATAAAGTGGCATCTATTAAAGGTATGGTTACTTTGTAAACATTTAAAAAATTTTGAATGAATATACATTCACAGAAAGTAGCAAAAATGGGAGAAAGGTAACATTTCTATTTATTTTTGATACTCATTTAAAAAATTTTTTTTTAATCCTCATTTGAAGGTATTTTTCCATTCATTTTCAGACAGTGTGGGAGGGAGAGGTGGGGGGAGAGAGAGAGAGAGAGAGAGAAAGAAAGAGAAAGAAACATCAAAACATCGATTGGTTGCCTCCCACATGGCCCCAAGCAGGGCTGGGGACCAAGCTGCAACTGAGGTATGAGCCGTTGACCAGAATTCAACCGGGACCTCTCGGTCCATGGGATGATGCTCACTTCACTGAGCCACACCAGCTGGGCTCCTGTAGAATTTTTTTTTATTTTTTATTATTCTCACCTGAGGACATTTTTGCATTTATCTTGAGATAGAACATGAGGAAGAGAGGGAGGAAGAGAGAGAGAGAAACATCAATGCGAGAGAGACACATCGAGTGGTTGCCACCCACACCCCCAAGAATTCTTAAGTTGTATTTTAATAATCATAGATTAAGATGCTTAATTGTCTATTAAATAGCGTTAGAAATTGAAGCCTTTTATATTAGGAAGACACATTTTAGATTAAAATTTAACTTTACAGACAAGGAAAACATTTTTATACTCATATTTAATTTAACATTATAAAATTTAAGTTCTAAGCCTTTAAGTATTAATGGAGCTCAAAACTAACATTCTTGTGGTCATAGCCATGTGTTAGTTACTTTGAGGTGTTTTTGGCAGTTTTGATTGGAATAGCTCATTAAATAACTTCTAATTTATTTATTATATATGTATGTATTTTCTATGCAGTATGAATTTTCCAGTAACTTCATTTGGTCAGGATGCCATGTGTTTATCTAATTCTGGAAGTGATGATTCTGAAAAAGCTCCTGCTAATTTGGATCTTATGTCTAGGAAGAGATTTCACTGTAGGCCTGATGAAAGTGACCATGTTCCTCCTGCCAAAAAATGTTCACTCACTTCCAGAGATGATTCTCAAAAATATGCCTCTGAGGTAAGAGAGTCATTAAATAAGATGACCATATTACAAAAGATCTATTTCTGTTTTTTTCCTTTATGTTCTTTATACAAAGAGTTCTGATACTTTTCACCATAAATAATTCAGGTAAAACTGGTTTTGTATTTTTACTTTTCAACCTGTTCTATGTAAAAATTGATGGACATTAATCAGGAAATCCATTCCCAGCTCTGTGTCATGAGCTAAAAATAAGGCCAAAAGCATTATATAGATCTGGATCTTAGTTGTACCACTTAATAGCTGTGGGACCTTAGGCAAGATACTTCACCCGTGTGACTTAGTTTGCCATTGTGTAAAATTATGATAGTAATATCACCACCACCATTATCATGATGCCTAATGTATCTTGTTGCTACAAAGACTAGAACCTCAAAGGCCCTCTTTTAACTGTCTCTTTTCTTTCTCTAGTCTTACCTTGTGCTAATCTCTGCCTTACTCTCTATCCATATTGGTTATCAGTTTCTCAAAAGAACAGTACTCCTTCATATCCCAAGCCATTTCTTTTGCTGTCTCTTTTTCTAAAATATTCCCTTGCAAAACATACGAACTTCAGTCATCATCTACTGTGTTGTATGTTTCTTAGCACTGTCTGGTTTTTGTTTCTGATATTTGTCATAATGTTCTACATTATGTAACCACACTATGGAGATATTAATTTAGAGTTGTATTCTCAAAGGGACAGTTGAAGACTAATGGTCCTTAGATGATAGCAGACAACAGAGGTAGTGTATCCTTGTATATCGATAGGTGAAAAATTGTCACCCAGAATAGTTTGAATTTCTCTTAATATTCAAGTAGGGTTGAACATCTTTTCATATTCTTAAGCGCCATTTGTATTTTCTTTTCTGTGAAATGACTCTGTATATTTCTTACCCATTTTTTAATTGGGTTGTTGATCTTTTTCTTACAGATTTGGAGGGACTCTTTTATGTATGTCTGTGATATGAGTTGCAAATAATTTTTCCCAATTGGTTATTTGTCATTTGACTCTATGTGGTTTCTTTCATGTAGACTTTTTGGTTAAGAGTTTTTGTTTTTTTTAAACATTTTTTTAAATTCTTTTTTTTATTGATTTTAGAGAGAGGAAGGGAGAGGGAAAGAGAGAGAGAAACATTGATGAGAGGGAACATCGATTGGCCGCCTTCTGCACACCCCTCCACTGGGGATTTGGCCCACAACCTGGGTTTGTGCCCTGACTGGAATCGAACCGGTGACCTCTGGTGCATGGGTCGATTGCTCAACCACTGAGCCACACCGGCCGGACTATTGGACTTAAAAAAAAAAAAAAATTTTTTTTTCTGACTTGAATGGGAATACTTCTGGTGTTTATGAAGTGGGATGCTGGCTTTTGGTTTGCCATAGCTGTATTTTAGGGTTTTAAGAAAATGTCTATCTATTCAATTTTAAGTTCCTTTTTTCCCCAAGAATGAGTATTATTAGACACTTTTCCTGCAAAAAGAAGATATAGTATTTTTCTTTTCAAATTTGTTGAATTATATTAATAGATTTCGTATTGAATCAGCTTTGCATTTCTGAAACAAACTCTACTTGATTGTGTATTATTAGGCTTTTGATGTATGTTAAATTATGTGTAATATTTCATTTGATATTTTTGCATTGATGTGAAAATGGCTAGTTGGTATCAATATTATGCTTAATTTATGAGAGGTATTTGGAAATTTCCCTCTTTTATTTGCTCTGGAACAATTTAAATAACAGTAACATTTTCCACAAATGTTTGGTAGAATTCCCATAAGACACGTCTGACCCTAGAGCTTTCTTTACTTAAAAATGAAAGAAATAAAATTCATTTTATTTGATAAATGGATTTCTAATATATATTTTTTTTTTTTTTGGTAAATTTTCTTAAAACAGGTGTGTTCAAAGGAATTAATAAATGTTTTTGAGGAAACAGGTGAGTGAAATAAATTTTAATGTGATTACATTTTTCTAAGTACGGCTGATTATTTTTGATGCATCTTGTTCAAATTTGGGATTAAAGCTGAGTTTTTCTCACTTTACCCTAAGAATCATGCTTCTATTATTAGAAGTTTTTCTACCCTGCTGAAATTTTGGATTTGGCACTTTGGTATCATAAAAATCTACTTTCTTCCTGTAGTTAATAGAAAACCGTGTATCTACAGGATTCCTGAAAAAGCACAACTACTACATTTTAGGAATTAGAAAGCTGGTTATAAAGGAGTTTTCAAAGATTTTTAACTATACCCTAAGATTAGAAAGTGATCACTTTGTTAGTTCAAGAGATATTTATATGGAGAAAGATTTTCTGGGTGAAAATATATTGATATGACTATTCTGTATTTGAAAGCAGTTACTTTTGCCCTGGCCAGTTTGGCTCAGCGGTTAGAGCGTCGGCCTGCGGTCTGGAGAGACCCGGGTTCAGGTCCCGCTAAGGGCACGTACTTCGGTTGCAGTTTGTCCCCGGCCCTGGTTGGTTGTGCGGGTGGCAGCCGCTCGATGTGTCCCTTCACGTCGATGTTTCTCTCTCTCTCTCTCTCTTCCTCTCTCTCCCTCCCACTCTATCTGTACAAAAAGATGGAAGAATGTCCTCTGGTGAGGATAAAAAAAAAAAAAAAAAATTGAAAGCAGTTACTTTTGTTTTTAACTAGTTATATTATTTTTAAGCATCCAGGTAATTCCACTAATTTATAATTTAGCTTACTCTTATTAAGGCATCTTTATGATAGAATATCATGGGTTCTTTCCTTCAAATATTGCAATTCATTTGGATGTATTGATTTCAATATGTGTACTTACCATTTGTGTTGTTTTCTTTTTTTAAGGGAAGTCTTACAAGGGACAAGATATCTTCCCTACTTCAGAAATCACATATATAACTCCAGAACCTCAGAAACAGCAACTTGAACCAACTTTTCTGAGTGCAGGATCTAGACCTCTTGATAAAATAATAGATACACATACTGAAAGGAATACACCTCAGTTAACTCAGGATAAGGCAATTGTCTCTGATAAGGAAGAAGGAACTTGTGCAACTTCTAAGCCTGAACACGTGGATAGCATCACATCATCTTCAAAAACCCCACTGTCAAGGTATCATGAGAAAGTCTGTAATTAGTGCTGAAACTTTTACTCTTTAGATGGAAAATCTTTAGAATTTAGTATTGTATGCTTTGTTTTCAAGATTGTCCATGGTTATTTTTTGATCCTTATTTATTCTATCATACAGTAGCTGCCAATGTAGATGATCTGAGACATAGGGCTAACATCAGAAGTAGCTCTGAATGTTGTTTTATTGAGGTCCCAAATAATGTGCATTTTTCTCCCTTGTGGCATACCAAAGAGGTAAACCATGGCTTTCTCCCTATGAGAGTAAATGTGGAATTTAAGCCCCAAGCCAGCTTTTTCCATATTATTTTCCTCATACTTTAGAAGCAAGCCTTGTGGGTTATGGGTAATTATTGACTTGTCAGCAGTAATAAAACCATTAATATGGTGTTGGTGAGTGGAAAAGGGGAGGACATGCACTAACTTCCACTAAAGGAAATGGGTGGGCGAGGACATGCGTAACTTAAAAGGGCATATTTAATGAATATATTGTTTTTGTTATGTAAACTACAGAAAGTAAAACTTGGCAATATGTTTAGAGATGTGCTGAATATAGAAGGAGGGAGGCATCATAGGGTTTTAGGTTGAAAGCAGCTGAGAAGCATTACTTTGGAATAAGGGTCAGCAGATTTTTTTGGTAAAGATCATGTAGTATATATTTTAGGTTTTGTGGCCCTTACATCTTTGTTGCAGCTACTCAAGCCTGCATTTGTAGTGCAAAAGCAATCACATTTAAACAGACAGACATGCTGTGTTCCAGTAAAATTTGTTTTACAGAATCAGGTAGTGAACTGCAGTTGGTCTATGGGTGTTTGCTGACTTCTTCTCTAGAGCCTTGCTATACAAAGTCTGGTCTTGGGACCAGCAGCATGGACATCATTTGAGAACTTGTTGGAAATACAGAACTCAGGCCCCATCCTCCACTAACTCAGTCAGAATCTTCATTTTAATAAAATCCCAGGTGATTTGTATGCACTTTCAAGCTTGAGAAGTACTGCTTTACAGTAAGCTTTGACTTTTGTCACAAATCAGTATTTAGTAGATGTGCTGATTATGCCATTTTAGGATTAATGGGGAAAAGTTGGTACTAAGAATGTGTCTTCCTGGATATTCTTCAATGTATTTATGTTTGCATTTCTAGACCTGGCAGAAGACCCCTGGGATTTTTGTCTTTAATATGTTCAAAGAATAGTTTGGAGTCTGATGAACCTACTCAGGTTCATAGAAAGAAACGCCTAAAACCTCTTATACCTGTGTCAAGACAGAATTTGAAAAGGTCTGATCCTCTCAGAGAAAGCCAGAAAAAAATTCAAGAGTCCTCTGATCTGCTTCCATCTCCAAGTGTTGTTGATACTCAATCTGAGAATATTGACAGTTCAGCAGCTCAGGTATGTGATAACTACTTATTTCATTGTTTATATAGACTCAACTAGGAAAAACATGGCAATTGTTATTTTTATTTGGATATGAGAAATTATTGCAGAGCAAATCCTATCTGTCTCCCTGTTCTACCCCCGCAACTCCCAATATTTTGGAAGAAGATAGGTGTTGAATTAGGAAGTTACAGCTAGTTTAGTTCAGAGCCGTTGAGCTAGCCATGAATAGACCCTTAATTGCATTTCTTTAAAGCAAAGACTCTTCTGACCTGTGGAAGCAAAACAAAGTAGTGCTTGCATTGTATTTCTTTCAGAGAAATGCCCTGACACCCACAAGAATTCAAGGACTGGTACAATTAGAATTTGTTTGCATGTTTTATTTCTATGCATTCCAAAACTGTGCATATGGGAATTCTGGGATGGAAAAATCTGTGAAGCTGTTTCAAAGAATTCAGAAGAATATTGGTGTGACTCAAGATCTCAGCAAAGGCTGGTGGCCTCTAATGGGTAGCATGAAACTCAGAGGAAGGAGTACTTTTGTAAAAATATCTTTAAAAATATTTTAATTTTGCTCTGGCCGATTTGGCTCAGCGGTTAAAGCGTCGGCCTGCGGTCCTGAGAGACCCGGGTTCGGTTCCCGCTAAGGGCACGTACCTTGGTTGCAGTTTGTCCCTGACTCTGGTCAGTCGTGTGGGTGGCAGCCACTTGATGTGTCCCTTTCACATCGATGTTTCTCTCTCTCTCTCTCTCTCTCTCTCTCTCTCTCTGTTCCTCTCTCTCCCTCCCTCTCTACCTGAACAACAACAACAACAACAACAACAAAAAAATTTAATTTTTACATTATTTCCCAGAATTATTTTCTGAGACCACGATTTTCTGAGTCTATTATTCTCAGATTACTTTGGAGAAGAGTGCTGTAATTACCAGCAGCATTGCAGTGCTAGTTTAATCCCATCCTTGCCAGCACTGGATAGATGACTCTTCAAAGTAAATTTTTTCTTATTTAATATAATGGTAGAACGGTGGACATGTCATTTCATTTGTTTAATTTGCATTTTTTTCAGTTACTAGTGACTTGTTTTTTCCCCATATATTTACAAGGTATTTTATTTTTTCCTATTTTGTTTCTATTTTGCTAATTTATAGCTTTTGGGATCTCAGTGTTTTCTTACCAATTTGTGTCAGATTTTTTTTTGTGTGTAAAAAGGCCACATACTTCTAGCTCTTTGCTGCAAGTAGTTTTCCCAAGTTTATTTTAAATTATTGAGGTTTTATTTTTAACGTACATAAGTTTTGAATGTTTCGTCAAATTCATTACTTTATTTCTTTGCAATTTCTTAAATTGCTTTTATGATTAGGAAGTTTTTATCCAGAGGTATAAACTTTTCAGTTTTAAAATTAATTCTATTCATGGTTATTGACTTTGGTATGTAGTGTGGAGTATATTTGGTATATGGTGAGAGGCAAGAATCAAAACTAAATGTTATTTTCAAAGTTCTATTTTATTATTTTTTTGAATAAGTAATGTATTTCATGTCTTAAAATTCATAATCTATAAAAAAGAGTTTACAGTAAAATGTTTCCCACATCTGTCCTTTAGCTTCCTAGTTCCCTCTTTCCACAGATACAGAGTATTATCAGTTTTTGGTTTACTTTTCTAGAGATATTTTATATATACACAAATATAATAAATACTTTTAAAAAATATAAACAATAGTATTCTGTTCTCTTCCATACTGCTTTCTTCACCTTACGGTATGTCTTGGAGATGTTTGCAAAACAGTAAATAAAGAGCTTTCTCTTCCTCTGTTTCTTTTAAAACTTTAAGTTACACTTTATTTTGAGATTGCTATATATTTACATCAGTTGTAAAAACGAATACAGAGAAATTCCAGTGTATATAGCCTTTATCCAGCTTTCCCCAGTGGTAGCGTCTTGTAAACCTATGGTATAGTATCACAATCAGGTTACTGACAGTGCTATAGTAAAGATACCGAACAGTTCCGTCACCACAGGGAACCTCTGTATTGCCCTTTTATAGACACACCCACTTCCACCCCACCCCAACTCACCCCACTCTCTCCTTCTTGAAACCTGTTTTCCATTAAATTTGTCATTCCAAACAAGTGATGCAAATGGCATCTTATATACGGTTGTGTAAATGGATTCATATTTCAGAATTGGCTTCTTTTAACTCAGAACAGTTCCCCTACAGAGTCATTTAAATGGTTTGTGTTTCAATAGTTTATTCCTATAAACTGTCTGTACCAGTTTTGTTTATCCATTTACTGATTGAAGGACATTGGGTTGTTTTCAGTTTTTGGCTATTATGAATAAAGCTGCTATTAACATTTGTATACAGGTATTTGTTTTTGTTTTTTAGGAATAAGTGTTCAAGAGTGCTGTCCTTATTTTTAATGACATAATATTCCATTGTTTGGATGTACCATAAAGCAATATTGGTCTCATATAGTAGGAATTTAGATTATTCCTAATTATTTGCTATTTCAAACAATGATGTAATAGCTAACTTATAAATGAGCCATTATGCTCATTTATCTGCAGATTAAATTTCCTAGAAATAGAATTGCTGCTCAAAAGGAATGATTATTTTTTTAATAGATACTGGCTGATTGTCCTCCGTAGGGATTATATCAGTTTCTAGTCTTATCAGCAGTAGATGAGAGAACCTTTTCCTCACACGGATATGTTAACAATTTTCTTTTACTTTTATCATTCTTCATAGATTTAATGAGCACATATCAGTGAGGTAAACATCTCTTCATGTATTTGAATTGTTTATGCTTTTTCTGTGAACCATCTGTTCATATTTTTTGACTTTATAAAGAATTGGTTATTAGTCTTCTTCATACTGATTTGTAGAAGCTCTTAATTAAAGAAAATCCTTTTTGATATAGGTTGCAGATATATTTTTTTCTGTATGTCATTTGTCTTTTGATTTTGTATATGGTGGTTTTTGCTATGCAGACATTTTTTATTTTTACATAGATGCATTTCTCAATCTTTCATGGGTTCTGGCTTTCCTGTCATTTAAAAAGACACTCCTCAAACAAATGTTGGCGAGGGTGTGGAGAAAAGGGGACTCTAGTACATTGCTGGTGGGAATGCAGACTGGTGCAGCCACTATGGAAAACAATATGGTGTTACCTCAAAAAATTAAAAATTGAACTTCCATTTGCCCCAGTGATCCCACTGCTAGGAATATACCCTAAGAAGCCTGAAACACCAATCAGAAAGAATATATGTACCCCCATGTTTGTAGCAGCACTATTTACAATAGCTAAGATCTGGAAACAGCCCAAGTGCCCATCAGTAGACGAATGGATAAAAAAGCAGTGGTACATATACACAATGGAATACTATGCAGCTGTAAGAAAGAAAGATCTCTCATCCTTTGAGACGACATGGAGGGACCTGGAAAGTATTATCCTAAGCGAAACAAGCCAAACAGAAAAAGACAAGTATCATATGATCTCACTTATTTGTGGAATGTAATGAACATAACAGTCTGAGGAATGGGGTAGTCCCAGAGACGTGGAAGTAGGGTACAGACTGACAATCCCCAGAAGAGGGGGTGTTGGGGGAGAGATAAACCACAGAACTTATATGCATGTATGCATGAACAATGGACATGGACAACAAAGCTGGGGACAGGGCAGGGGGGAATCAATGGGGGGAAAAGGAGAAACATCTGTAACATAAATAAATAAATTAATTAAATAAAAATAAAAAGACACTCCTATCTGGCTGGTGTGGCTCAGTGGTTGAACGTCAACCCATGCACCAAGAGGTCTCCAGTCAGGACACATGCCCAGGATGTGGGCCCAATCCCCAGTGGGGGACATGCAGGAGTCTGTCAGTTGATGTTCTCTCTCATTGATGTTTCTATCTCTCTCTACCTCTCCCTTCCCTGTCTCTAAAATCAATAAAGAAAATAAAAATTTAAAAAGACATTTCTTTTCCCCCACTCCAGGATTATAAAAGTTTTCCCTTGGTATTTTATAAGAGGTTTTTAAGAAATGTTTTTACATTTAAATCTTTTGAGCCATGTAGTATTTATTTTGGTATAGGTCTGGCTTTTTTCCTGAGGGTTATACAGTTGTCTACCATCATTTATTGAATAATCCAATGTTTCTTATTTTTTTAGAAATGTCATTTTTATCAGATACTAAATTTCCATCCACATGTGTTGGGGGATATTTTTAGTCTTCTATTTAATTGATATGTATGTTTGTTTCTGTGCTGATATTATCCTTAGTTTTTGATAGATTTATAAGTATGCTAATTTTTGATAGAATGACTTTCATTGGTGATTCCTTTGGGTACTGTTTTTTTCCATGTCTATTTTTATACTGGTTACTAAAATGTTTTTATTAAATACTTAATAATGTTATGTTTTACTATTATGTTAAAGTTTTTTCATGGAAATTAGGGTGATGTTATGGATCATGGATACACTACAGTTAACCTAATGTTATGTTATTTGTTGATTCTGATTTTATTATTATAACTAATGCTACGAAGGTTATCTTATTCATAAAACTCTTACTATGTTAGGATTATTTCCTTAATGTAATAGCACAGAAATGAAATTATTGGATCAGCGAGTATGAACATATTTAAAGCTCTTAATATTTATGCTATATTGCTTTTCAAACATATCAATGTAGACAGCCACTACGAATATACAAATGTTATATTGCATACTTATTTTTATTATCTTTTTAGGTTTCTTGTGATCGTTCCTTACTGAAAGAAGAATGTAAAAGTGTCCAAAAACAGACACTTGAAGAAGAACCAACCACAGTCTCTGAATATTTCTTTAGTGATATCTTTATTGAAGTGGATAAAACAGAATGAAAGTTTTGTTTTTTAAGTCTAGAATTTTCAGAGTCAATTATGTCAACAAAACAGTATTTAGAAAAAGCATCATGTTTGTTTTTCTTTATGTTGATTTTGACTATTTAATGAACTTGATTGAAGTTTTTATAATCAGTGGGAAACATTGCTGAGGTTCCTTTCATTCTGATTGATTCAGCATTTTGGAATTACCAAACAATTAATACTGCTTTTTCAGACAGAAATAGCAACTCTTGTTTACATTTTGACTCTTCCTGAACTGAAAACATATGGACATATTGGAATGTTTCTGTATCAGTCACAGGGCTGAAGTATTGGGAGGTGGATTGTATTTAACATTTAGCGAACTACTTTTGTGAAGGTTTTTTTTCTGTTTTTTTGGATTTTTCTGTGGGTGATTAAGACCTTTTCAGTTGCCTCTTAAGTACATGAAAGTAAATTGTTAAAAACTTTTCTATTATTAGCTATTTGACTGACTGAAAAATATATACTTTTGTAATTCATGTTAACATTAGTCCTAATTGAAGAACTAGTATTTAAACATATTATTTATAAAGATGAAACATCAAAAAGCTTATTTATTTTTAAATTTTTTATTTAAAAGAATATTCAGTTTTAATTATTTCACCCTCAGAATTATGGGTAAAGAAGGCATTAACAATTTTGTTTGTCTCCTTTCCCTCTTTAATTTTAGAGATATTTAAAGTGGTATAACTAAAAGTATTTGGATAGTGTATATGTTTTGAATACATTTTTTTCTCATAGTGTTAGTATATTGACTTTGTACTGTGAATATTTTGTTTTTCTTATTTCTTGGATAATCTCAGGATTTGTATGGAAAAAGAAAAAAGAAAACTTACCTTCATTTATGAGGCATATTTCCATACAAAACTTAACCGCCTTTACACATACACACACACACACACACACACACACACACACGTTCCTTTAAAAAAAACAACAACCAATTTTTTGATACGTTTCCTCCCCATTAAATTCTGCTTCAGGAACACTTAGCCTTTAACTACAGAACATAATTGTGATATTAAAAACAGAAAATAAGATAACATGACCATTAAGTCAGTGATTATCGATATGGATTTGAGTTGTTTCAGTTTTGTAATCTACATATGTAATTTTATTATTCACCCAAGTAAATCTTTGGTGTGATTCAATTAAACTTCTCAAAGAGCAAATTTATTCTGAGTTGACAATACATTAGGTCAGGAATCAAAAACATTTTTCATAAAATATTTTTTGCATCTGTGGGCCAGATGGCCTCTATGGCAGCTACTCAACTCTGCCATTTCAATTGAAAGCAGCCACAGACAATACTTAAATGATAGATGTGGCTGTATTGTGCTTTTAGTTTGACCCTCTACATGAGAGAGTAATTTTCTTACGTTAAGGTGCTGATGTCTTTATGAGATATATGTCATTGAAGTTATAAGTTGTGCCTAACAGATAAAACTGTTGATTGCATTATGGAATGATCAGTATTTCAATGGGAAGCTTTTTTAATGTCTAGATAATTGTGTTTATATAATGAAAAAAATGGAGGGCAATTTTCAAGTTCATTAGTAAATTAGGATATGGCTCAGGAGGAAGTATAACAGTAATCCTAATTTATTAAAACAATTGACATTAGAGCATTTTTTCATTTTCTTATAGTGATATTTATAGTTTAAATTTTTCCATAAAGATCTATAAATCTGAGTGGAAATTCTCTATAGGTATGCATTTATTTATTTCACGTGATCACAAGAATCGTGGTAGTAAATAACATTTCTATTTTAATGCCCTGTTTTTATAAATTTTAAAAAACCTCATTCTTAAAAGCTTTCTTTCATTAGGTTAATGTTAATTTGGGTGTTAGATTGCCACAGTTAAACTATTATTTTATCTCTTGTATAATATTTGTTTTAACTTTGTAAATGTCTGTCTCTTGTTCATCTACAGTGAATTAATTTTATGAAAGATGTAACTTCTTACTGTATAAAGAATAATTTTATCTTTTGGGCATTTATTATATTAGAGAATCAAGTCACCCAGCTAAATTACCTTATTATTATATCCTTAAACTAATCTTAGAGAAAGAGAAACATAATCATTGTATTTATTTACCTTTTAAGGTGGAAAGACTTGTTCACACCTGTATTTAATCTAATTCTTGTAAAGATGATGTTGGGAAGAGTTTGTATTTTATAAATTTTAAAGAAGATATGGTTAAAGGTCTTTGTTTTTTCTTGTCGTTTCCTCCTGAATACTTATGTCTTAGCAAATGGTGAACATGATGGTTTAAAAGCCTAATTTGTTGGTAAATGATTGAGGCACAGATAAAAATATGAATATCTACTGTTTACCACTATATTATTTGAAATAGAAGTGACCATGTATACATAATATCTTGCTTGAAGAAGTCATTGACAAAAAAGCAATATCTGTCATTTGTAAATTTTCTTGTTCTAAAGAAAGCATTTATGTTCTATAGATATAAATTATGTAAATAAAAGTTATTTTATATTATATGACATCTAAATGAGTTTTTTTATTTACTCCTTGTATAATGTTTTTGTTGTGCCCTTTTCTTAATGTTTAGCCGAAACCAGTAGTTTTTCAACTACAGCTTATACTTCCTTTCATAAAAATATAGTACAGTCATCCCTTGGTATCTATGGGGATTGGTTCCAGGGCCCTGTGCAGTTACCAAAATCTGAGGATGCTCAAGTCCCTGTATAAAAATGGCATAGTGCCCTGGCTGGTTTGGCTCAGCAGTTAGAGCATTGGTCCGCAGACCAAAGAGTTTGGGGTTCAATTCTGGTCAGGGGCACACGTACCTCAGTTTCAGTTTGTCCCTAGCCCTGGTCAGGGTTGTGCACGAGGCAACCAATTGATGTTTCTCTTCCACATCGATGTTCTCTCTCCTCCTGCCCCCACTCTATCTGAAGATAGATGGAAAAAAAAAAATTCTCAGGTGAGGGTTAAAATGGCATAGTGTTTGCATATAACCTATGCACTTTAAATAATCTCTAAATTACTTATAATCCCTAATACATAGTAAATGCTAAACAAATCGTCGTTGTACTGTGTTGTTTAGGGAGTAATGAATGACAAGTAAAAAAGTCTGTACATGTTCAGTACAGATGCAACCATTGTTGCATCAGGCCTACTAGCTATATCAGCAACAACATAACTTTTTTTATGTGTGAATATTTTGGATTTGCAATTGGTTGAATATGAAGTTGGTTGAATGCAGATGTAGAACCGGCGGATATGGAGGGCCACTGTATAAGTGGAAGAACTGATCTGTTTTCTTATATGTATGCTGTGAAGAATATTTTTTTGCTCTTATTAAGTATAAAGAATACTTTCGCCCACATTTGAGACATCTAAAGAGTTGTTTTATTTACTTCTTGTATAATGAATTTAGATAAAAGAACTCAATCCTTTTATTATTTGTTTTTTCTTCTTCCCACTTTGTTTTTCTGTAGAGAAAATGGGAAACTTTAGTCCTAGATACAGTATAAATCTGAAATTCTGAAGTGGATAGTGGCAAAATATCAGTCAAAAATTTGGTTGGGAGAAATACTTGTAGAAACTTTCCTAAAGGACAGTCTAGTCATTTCTCTAAATATACAAAATTTTTGTCTTGGATTTTGTCAGATCATTAAAGAGCCTAGCCGTGGTGGATGTGGCTCAGTTGCTTGGACATCATCCTGTGCACTGAAAGGTTGCTGGTTGGATTCCAGGGCAGAGCACATGCCTGAGGTGGGGTGCAGGAGGCAGCCCATCTCAGATCAATGTTTCACTCCCCCTCTCTAAAGTAGTTAATTAAAAACAAAAAAAGCTATGAATATGGGCTACATTGTTTTGTCTGCTCATGTTTAGGGACATTATGTGAAATAGTCTAAAAGTCTAAAGAAATGATTAATTTTGCTATAATGAAGATGTAGACTTTATCATCCAATATCCTACTTGGAGGAACCTATAGTAGATACTTCTCTTTGGCCTCAGTGCTAGGAATAATTGGGCTGCTGTTCAATTGTCTGATTTTTTTTTTTTTTATAATATGAGCTGTGTGAATCCTTGTGTTGTTTACTTTTGCAATACACAGCTAAGTTTGGGGCCAACCTGTAGCAAGGTAAAATACTTCACACATTTTGTGTACTAAACTCACTCTGACTTTTTTTTTTTTTTTTTTTTACCTTCATTCCCCCCCTGCCCAGATTTTTAAAAACGTCACTTTTCAAAACAAGAAGCTACCATTTATTATGCTTGGTACCGTACTAACCTTTTAATATGCATTGTTTCCTGGTTTTAAAAAGTTTATGCATGACTTAAAAAGTTTAGTAGTGCTGTAATATTTTACACAAGCTGTTCTGGTATTTCACGTTTCTAAAAATGATTATTCTGCCTCTCATTTATAAATGTTAGACATTGTCAACTGACTTTTTGTTATGGCACATAAAAATTTTAGCTTTCTGCCCTGGCCTGGTAGCTCAGTTGGTTAAAGCATCATCCCCATACACCAAGGTTGCCGGTTTGATTCCCTGTCACACACATACAAGAATCAACCAATGAATGCATAAATAAGTGGAACAAATTGATTTTACTCTCAAATCAATAAATAATAAAAAACTTTCTTACAACTCTCCTCTCCCCACTTCCCTCCTGCTTTCTCCCACTGTGTTAAACATGGTTAAACCTTATTTACTATTTTCATTGTATTAATTGTAATTACCACATAATGTACTAAGATGATGTTTCCTTTCTGGTACAATTTTTGTTTTTCTCGAAGTTGGTAACTGCTTAACTTTTTCATTTGCTTTGGGTTTTATTTGTTTTTGAACCAATGACTTAACTTTCCACACCCTCCAGCAAGCCTGTTAAAGCCTCTGCTTGTAATTTTCCACATGGTTAATACTGCCAGATAAACGGTTTCCTTTTTTCCTGGAAAACTTTCAGAGCTCTTCCTCCTTTAATCTGGACCAGTGGCTTCAATAGCTCTCCATGCGCAGTAGCGCTGTCACCCTGAACTCCAGGGAC